TTTTTTTTTTCATTTCCTTTCCTTTATCAGTTATCAAATCCAAATTCGTTTGATCATTCATATTTACTATTTTGACATTAATTTGGCTTAATTAAAAATTTTTCTGACAAAAATATCAAAAAAATTTCTCGGCAAAATTTTTTGAAAACTTTTTCGAATTTCGTTTTTCTTTTTTCGTTCGATTTAATCATCATCATGCTCGAATAGGACATACCTTATTTCTGAATGGTACCATTGCTCAGCACACACACTAAAATTCGTTATTTTTTGTTTTGTTTTTCTGTTTCTGTTTTTTTGTTTTTCCTTTTTCGATTTTAAATTTTTCAAACACACAAAAATACCAGCTCATTACACAAACAACAACACAAAATAAAAAATTTTAATTTCAATTTCAAACCAAATGAAACAACAACAAAATCAATGAAGAATTTCAAAATAAAGTTATGATAATCATTATTCATAATGATATCAGCATCGAATTCGCCTCTTGGATCGATTCGAGTGTCTTTTTTTTTTATCACAATGATTTTTTTGTCAACAATGATTGTAAATATTTACCCTGACATCGTTTATTGATCAATTTCGACGATCACGGTCACAAAAATTATTGTATTTATCACTGAAATGTTATCGCGGTACATTAAAGGGTATCCTTGAATAAATTCCATTAATATTACATCATTCAAAAGGATGTAATATTAATGGAATTTAAACATTCGAAAGTTGAATTATTTGGAATCAAAGTAAGTTGGACAAAATTCAAATCAAATCAATAATTTCTTTTTTTTTCTATTTATTTTTTTACATAGACGATTCTTAGACATGGTCAATTCTTCGTTCCATCTTAACAATGTTTGTAAATATAAGTAATTTTGTAAGTAATCTTGAACACTTTTTGAATTTTGTTTTCTTTATTTATTGTATCCTTTAATTATTGTAGAAAAAAAACATTGCTGCTGCAAGTGGTAATGATTTCTTCTCTGGATCAATCTGGTGAATCTCGAATTTAAAAAAAATAAAAAAAAAGATGAAAAATGATGCTCAGGCACTATAATCGGGATTTGTCTTGTTTTGATTGTTCATAATCACTTAACAAGACATAATCATCAGTTGACAAATCCAAATTCGTTTGATCATCGAACAATCCATCATCGTTAAGCTTTTTCTTGATTGATTCAGATTCCATAGAAACCAAGATCATTCGAGGTTGAAAAATCCTTTTTTTTAAATAAATTTATATTGTAAAATTTTGTATTATTATTTACTATTTTGACATTAATTTGGGTTAATTGAAAATTTTTATGACAAAAATAACAAAAAAAAATTTTTTAAACTTTTTCGATTTCTTTTTTTTCGTTCGATTCCATCATCATGCTCGAATGGGACATGCGTATTTTCAAATAAAAACTTTATTTATGAATGGTACCATCGCTCAGCACACACACACGCCACTAAATTCGTTATTTTTTGTTTTGTTTTTCTGTTTTCTGTTTCTATTTTTTTTTTGTTTTTCCTTTTTCCGTTTTGTTTCGTCATTTTTCGATTTTAAAATTTTCAAACACACACAAAAATACCAACACAATACACAAACAATGAAGAAATTCCAAAAAATGTTATGATAACCATTTTTAATATTGATATCAGCATCGAATTCGCCTCTTGGATCGATTCGAGTGTCTTTTTTTTCGAGAAACATGAATGATCAAACTATCATGTTCCTCGAATTGTATTTAATGGATCGAAATAACAACAAATTTTTTTTGTTGGTCGGACCAAAATTTTTATCATCATTATTCAAAAGTAATATTGAATATTTATTTTGAAATAACCCCAAGAAAATGGATGTAATATTGATGAAATTTAAACATTCGAATGCTAAATGACCAGATTATTTGGAATCAAAGTAAGTTGGACAAAAAAATTTATGATTCAAATCAAATCAATAATTTCTTTTTTTTGCATAGACCAACCATTTTATAAACAAAACACTGATTATGGGCCAATTTTTTGCTTAATGCAACCTCATCTGCATTCTATCTTAACAATGATTGTTTAATTATTTTAAGTAAGTAAGTAATCTTGAACACTTTTTGAATTTTGTTTTCTTTATTTAATTGTATCCTTTAATTATTGTAGAAAAAGCATTTGTTGCTGCGGCAAGTGGTAATGATTTCTTCTCCAGATTAAGCTGGTGAATCAAAAATTCGAAATCTCGTACCATAATCTGGTAATCTTGTTTTGATTGTCACTTTACCAGACATAATCATCAGTTAACAAATCCAAATTCGTTTGATCATCGAACAATTCATCATCGTTATGATTGATTCAAAGTCCATAGAAACCAAGATTTTTCGAGGTTGAAAAATCCTTTTTTTTAAATCTTTTCAAATTCATATAGTAAAATTTTGTATTAATATTTACTATTTTGACATTTATTTGGGTTAATTAAAATGACAAAAATATCAATAAAAAAAATTTCTTGGCAAAATTTTTGAAAACTTTTTCGGTTTCTTTTTTTTTTGTTCGATTTCATCATCATGCTCGAATGGGACATGCGTATTTTCAAATAAAAACTTTATTTCTGAATGGTACCATCGCTCAGCACACACGCCACTAAAATTCGTTATTTTTTTGTGTTTTTCTGTTTCTTTTTTTTTGTTTTTTGTTTTTCCTTTTTTCGTTTTGTTTCGTCATTTTTCGATTTTAAATTCAATTCAATTCAATCCAGTCAATCAAATCAAATCAATCAATCAAAAATGGGATCAAAATCAAAATTATTTGATTTACAAAAAAAATTTATGAAATGTAGTGATGATATTGATGAAATTGAAATCGAATATCGTAATAATAATAATAATATTAATGATACAAGTGAATTGAATCGTTTATTGATTCGAATCGATAAAATTAATCAAGAATTTTCTCAATTATTATCCATTGTAAATCGAAGCAATAATCAAAAATTGTTTGATGAATTTGGTGAATTTTCGAATGGAATTAAAAAACAAATAAAAGTATTGATTGAAGCTATTGAAAAATCTATTGATTCGATTTCGAAACGTGAACATGAACAACATCATGATGAACAAAAACCATCGGCAACAACAACAACATCGTTGGAAAAAGCTGAAAAACAAAATTTTATCGAATCGAATAAGGATGATGAATGTTCGAATGGTTTGATCCACAACTATGTCGATCATGATGGCGATAATCATGATTCAAAACAAACAGAAATTTGTCGTTGTTGGTTTTGTTGGCGAAAAAATCCGGATCTTTTAGCCAAAGATCAAGATGATTGGTGGCGTATTAATATAAGAAATTTTTTCCGTCAATATCAAGATCTAACAACAGTTAGATTTTTATGTCGATTTCGTGAAGCTCGTTTAAATTTATTTATTAATTTATCAATGGATGAACGTTTACGTCTGATACGATGGATGTTTGAATTATTAATCATTGAATTTTATGAACAAATTGATCATCTGGTTGAGCCGATTGTGAAAATTGCATCAATGTTGAAAATTGATAATTGGAATCATACCATAATGGAATGGTTACGTGAACGTATTGAATCCGGTATCTATTCGGATGTTTGTGATTATGAAAAATTACACGGGCAAATTGATCAATATTCCGATATAATACGTGAACAATTTGAATTGAATAAACAAAAATCATTGAATCATTATTGGAATACTATTTATTTGATAATCGTTATGTTTGATCGTAATGTAATCAATTTTAATCCAAATGATTCAATGGATTTTTTGTTAAGAATTTTGAAATTTTTATTAGAAAATTCACAATCCGATCATCATCCAGAAATTTATCTAGATCTTTTGATTGATTCATTGGGAATTTCGGCACCAAAATTATTGATATCGATTAAAAAAGCTCGAATGGAATTTAAAATTAAAGAATTTTTTACTGAAATTCAACATGTTTTATTGCAAACAACATTGATTTCGAATAAAGATGAACGGTAAGGATTTTTTTTGTTGAAAAATTTGTTTTTAAATTTGAAATTTTGTTTTTTTACTTTTTCTACAGAATAAGCACAATTCTCGAAATGATTGAAGATAATCTGGATGGCTTTACACAGCAAAAGAAACGAAATCGATATGAAATGAAAAGTTTAAAAGGCTATTGAATTTGATACAATTATCACCGGATTTTCTTCGATACACTTCGGTTTCGAAAATCAATCAAAATATGATTGAAGAAACATTTTTTAAATCTTGTCCATTTTTTCTCTTTTTGTTTTTTTTTATTCTGCCTTTTTTCCGTAAAGATTTGAATTAAAACTTTTTTTCAATGGTAAAGAACATGCGAAATTTTATTGGATGATAAATTGATTTTATATACAAATTTACAATAATAACAGAGATTCCAAATATTGAAAAAATTGACTAGCTTTTCATGTATATGATGATAATTGTCGATTCAATACTGTATTGGATGTAGCAATCGATGATTGTGAACTGGTTGTTGATTGTAAATCTTCAACCATTGTTCTTGTATTGATATTGGTGGGCATTGATTTCAATTTCATTTCGATCAATTCAACATCCAATGGATTACGACCGATTGAAAATCCTCTTGATCCGGGTGAAGATTCAGCAATAATTGATGATGATGTTGCCATTTTTGAACATTGATAATAACTATTAGCTGATTTGATTGTTGATGAATTGCTTGATTGTCTTGTATGAATATTATTATCATCAACATCCAATGATTCTATGTGATATTAAATAATATTTAAAATTTTTTAATGAAATAAAATAATTGGAAAAACTTACTTGTTTTTAATAAATCAATCTGTTTCCTTTCATCATTTTCTGATTTCTTAATCATCATTGATTCTGTATCGGCTTTATGATCATCTTGATTATTGTTTTGTTGTTGTTGTTGAGCATCATCAGTTTCAGTATCAGCAATTAATGCCTGTAATGATCTAAATGTAAACATAATTGTTCGAAAATTGGCATTTTTGCCGGCACGTAATGTTACAGAATCGGTACCGACTTCCATTAGATCAAAACCAAGTGATGCATAAAGTTCATGACAACCTTGTATTGACCAAAGTTTAAGATTTAATGTTTCTAAATATGATCCAAGTAATGATGATTGACCAATATCATTACATTGATCACCATAATTAATAATATGTTCAAGTTTATCGATAATTTGGCCAACATAATCAGAAGAATTTGCAATTAATTTCGATACGGCAGCTATTGTTGCTGGTGAAAGGGCTAGAATTGCTTGTAATGCATTTGAACAACGTTGTAGACGACCATTTGGATCGGATTGTGGAAAAAATACACAAGCCGGTAAACCACCATTAGTTGATGATGCTGGTTCGAAACGAAATCCAACAGCAATCAATAATTCACGCCATCCTTTAGTATTGATGCCAACTTTATTATCAATACTTTGAACTGTTGTGTACATTGCATTTTTCTGGCCACATTGAATCCGTTGTAATGATTTTTCCACCAAATGTAGTACGACACGCATAGCATCACGTGATTTTTCCGGTGTTTTGATCAACGTAGCTAATGATGATGACATTAATGCTACTTGTGATGAAAGTCGAACATCCGAACCAATCAAAATGAAACCAGCCCAATTACGTGGATGTGAAAAATGTGTTGTATTTTGAATAGTACTGACTGCTTCTTTTAATGCTGTCGAAACACGTGTTCCTTGTAAAAGTGAACAATAAAATATTCGAAATAAAACCTGTAATGCATTCAACGATACAGGCCATAATGTAAGAAGAACACAGGAAGCACCAGCCTGTAATAATGCCGATGTTATTGTTTTCAATACTTGTGAGGAATTATATGTTGTTGCAGCATTTAAAGCGGCTGCATGATTTGTCGATCGTGATGATATTGCCGGGCTAATCAAAATAACATTAACATCATGTTTAACATCGACAAAACAAAAAACTTACCAAGAAATAACGACCAATTTTGCTGAAAGACCAATACTAATAAGATCATGTGGTGTAAGCAAATATTCATGATCATGTAACTGATGTGCACTATCACCAATCAATACATCCGATGGTGATATAGCAATACCAAGACCGGTAGCCATTTTTAATGGATCACCATCAGTATTATCAATAATATATGATGAAAAATGTATACATTGTGCAGTGGATAATTGTGCCAATACAGCTTCTTTATTAGCTTCGGTTCCAATCAATGGCCGTGTGGATAATAATTCACTAACAAATGCAGCTTCTTTACTTGATGCTGGATTTTCAAAATACAGTTGTGGTCGATGATTATTATGATGATTATGATCATCATCGTCGTTGGCTCTTGACACTGTTAATTTATTGGGCATTGTTGGATTAGCAACAACTAATGATGTTATTGTTGAATGATAATCATCGGATTTTTTTCTTGAAAATTTGTTTTTCGTATTATTTTGATCACCACGTAGAACATTTAATGATGGTATGACTAACAGTGAATATCTTTCACTTAAAAATTGTTCATCCTTATTACGAAGCATATTCCATGGAACAAGAAAAAGATCACCATCTAATACCAGCAAAAGCTGATTGATGGTTGATTCATTTTCGTTCAATTGATTTTGAAATGGTCCAATTAAAATATCATATAATGCAGTAGAAGCGGATGAAAATCCTGGCCAATTATGATTCAAATGCCAACGATAACTAGTTGAACGTTTCATTTTTGTATTCGTTAATGATGTTGTGGATAATGAATCTTGTGAATCAATATTCGATGGACATGATCCAGTAATATGATCAAATGATTTTCGTTGTTGTGAAAGATTAATATTTGATGAACGTCGATGATTTCTTTGTTGTTGTTGTTGACGATGTAATCTTGTTGTCGATGCTGTTGATGTTGATGTTACTGATGATGCCAGTGAAAATAATGAACTCAATGAATAATTTGATGAATTTAATAGATGATTTCGTCGCAAATGATGCATCGATGATGACCGTTCAAATGTTGCTGTATCGGGATAATCATCAATCGATGATCGATAATCAATCGATAATGATTCTTGATTGAATAATGAATTCTGTACACTGTTGATTAATTGTAAAATTTTTTCACGATCTGTTTTCAATAATGATGCAAAATCAACTTGATTTGGTGTTATGAGCCATGAATTATAACTACCATCAATCGTCATTGAATAATAAAGAATGGCTGCATGTTGACTTCTGGCCATATCAACAATCTGATCGATTGTTGTAATATTGGAAAATATTCCGGAATTTTTTTTCGATTTTGAAAACGATCGTGTTCTTGAACGTTCAGCTATCAACAGAGCTTCGGTTGGCCGCTGTAGTGCAATTAGTATCTTGATCAATGCTTCATATGATGCACCTTGATAATGAAGATAATGTTGATGATGATGATGTGATTGTGAAATGGTTGACATTGATGTTGGCATTATTGGTAAATTTTGCCAACGAATTCGATCATAATTCGATGATGATGTTGTGGATGATGCATCACTGGTATTGCTACCGTAGCCGCCGGTCGCTGTGGTCATCATCATCGGTTCAATCATTAATTGTGTTGCCGATGAATTAAGATTCTGTAGATTTTCAATCAAATCAACTGAACGTCGTAAATGTGTTTCAGCCACTTGTAATTCATTCATTGCCCATAATACCATACCAAGTTCATAACAAATTCTAGCTTCTTCTTCATCACGATAACCAATACGTGTTTGATTATTTCGATTTTCAACAATCGTTAATGCTTGTTGAAAATATCTTCGTGCTTGATGATAATTACTATTCGATGAATTTATTTTACCCAAAGATGATAGTGCTGAAACTTGTGCATTCAAATCACCAATAATCCTGGCAACGGATAGATATTTTTCCTGATATCTGATGGCTGATTCGGGATTTCCAAGAGCATTATATGCATTGCCAATAGCACCATATGCACGTGATTCCATTTCTAATGAACCGATTTCCTGTGCTATTGTCAATGCTGATGAATGATATTTAAGACTACGTTCATAATCATGCATTTCTTGTGCAACTTGACCAAGTCCATGTAATGCTTCAGCTTCGATCAAAAGGCCAATTTGTTTTTGATGTTGATCATCATCATTTTGACCATTGGAATTAAGATTAGTTATTTTACCCAATTCTTGTTCATGTTTAAAACAACTAATTGATTGTTCATAATTTCCTAATAAACGATGCAAATGACCAAGTTCACCATATGCTAATGCTTTTGTTTGATTACAACCAATTTCATGTGCAATAACTAAACGTTTTTCATATGAAACCAGTGATTGTTGCAGATTATTTATCAATTGATAACATTTTCCCAATAAACAATAAATTTGTTCTTGATCCGATAAGGATTTACTTGCCGAAAGAAAATCTAGATAAAATTTGATAGCATCATCATAACGTCGTTGTGCAAAATAACAATCACCAATCGATCTCGAACAATTCGTATTGCTAACAATAAGATTATCGATAATAGTGGTTGTGGACGACATTTCTGTTTGACCATTGACATTTCGATGATCATCAGCCGCATCGGAAATTATCGATGTTGATGTTTGATGATTATCGAATCGTTCAATCGTTTCACTTATCAATGTTGATTGACGTTCATAAAAACTAATCGATTCTTCATAATGATTCATTTGAAATTTTGTAACGGCCAAATTATTGAATGCTTGTGCTAGCATTTGACAAGATTTAAGTTGTTGTTGCTGCAAAACATTATTATTATTATCAGCAAATTGTTGTAGTTGCTGTTGCCGTTGTTGTCGACGACCATAATAACCATTCGAATCGTATTCGATCAAAAAACCAGAAGTTTCATTCAAACAATCAATTCGGCAATGATAAAATTGTTCACATTTTTCCAATTGTTTACAAAAACATTCATATGCTAAACGATAATTTTCGATTTTCAAATAACATTCACCTAAATCATTTAAACATCGAATCATTTCTTCATCCACTTCTAGCGATGAATCATCAGTCACCAAATTAGATGATTGTCGAATTTGTAATTCTTGTTGAAAAAATTCAACAGCTTGTTCCCAATCACCAGAGATTCGTTGACAATTACCAAGTGATTGTAATGCCATAGCTTCATGCAAACATTCACCCATTGATCTGGATATGGAAAGTTTTTTTTCCAAAATTTTCTTAGCTTCCATATATTTTGCCTGTTTGATCAATATATCACCAATATAACCCATTACTTTTAATCTTTCATCATTTTGCTGCTGTGATGTTAAACAAAGAAAATTTCGATAACATTCTAATGCTGAATCAAAATTATCGATTGCCGAATAAACTAAACCAAGATGATAATAAGCACGACAAATATTTTGACGATCTTGTAATTGTTTTGATTGTTCCAAATCTAATTGAAAATATTTCATAGCTGATTGATATTGTTTTGATGCAAGGTTAGCTAAACCTAAATAATGGCTAGCATTAGTTTGACCATCTTTATCATTCAAAGCGATTGTTGTTTGCAGATATTGTTCAAAATAATAAATTGCTTTCTCGTAATTTTGATTAGAATGATAAAAATTACCAAGATTACACAGTGCTTGTGATTCATTTTGTAAATCATTAATTTCACGTGCAATATTTAGATGCAAATTTAGATGTTTCAATGCTTGATCCATCAGATGTAATGATTCGAAACATAATGCCAGACTTCCATGAGCAGCTGCTTCAGCTGAACGATCTTGTAATTCTTTTGAAATTTCTAATTCCATTTTATAATATTTCATTGCTTCATCTGGTTGTTTCATTGTTGAATAAACATTACCAATATTACCGTAAGCACGTCCAATACCCTGTTGATCATTCAATTGTTTACAAATATTTAAATGTGACCAATGAAGTTTAAGTGAACCATCTAAATCACCCAACAATTGATAAACGATTCCCAGATTGGAACAAGCTTTTGCTTCAGCCAAACGATCTTTTGTATTCAATGCTGCATCTAATTGTCGTTCATACCAACGTTTTGCTTGTATGAAATCTTTCATACAACGTGATGCATGTCCCAAACCAGCATATGCTTTTGATTCAATAATTCGATCACCCAATTCTTGTGATATACGTAATACTTGTTCATGAAATTGTATTGCTTGTTCATATTGACGACGATAATGATACGCTGAACCAAGATTTGAATATGCTCTTGCTTCTTCCGATTTATTACCCAACAATTTTGATAATTTTACATGTTCCAAATGATATTCAATCGCTTTATCGAATTCACCGGCAGCCAAATGTACTGAACCAACATTACCGATTTCTCTGGCTTCAGCTAATGGATCACCACCTAATTGTCGTATAATTTGCAAACATTGTTGATGACTTGATAGGGCATTTTTCAGATCACCAATTGCTGAATAAACATGACCAAGTGATGTTAATGCTAATGCTGCCTGATCATTGTGTTTATGTTTCATAGCCAATACTAATTGATAACGATGTGATGATAATGCTTCACGATAACTACATTTAGCAAAATATGCTGAACCAAGATTAGCATGTGCACGACATTCACCCAGAATATCACCTAATGTTCGTGCAACTTGTAAATCTTGTTGCATATAATCAATTGCTTGATCAAGATTATTTAATGACCAATATGCAGTACTTAATGCTGAAAATACTGATCCACGAAGTTTTAGCGAACAGGAACCAATTTGCAATGCTGATTCTAATACTGTAACAGCAGCTGCGAAATGTGTTGCAGCTAATAATTCTTGACCAACTACCGATGTTATCACAAATGGAGATTTATCAAAATTCATTACTTGAAGTTGACGATAAATTGGTTCGAGGGTAGCACGTAATGGTGATTTCATTGCTGTTTCAACAAATGCCGATAATAATTGAGTAGATTTAGATTCTTTTGCTAAACCTGATGCAAATGCAGCCAGTGCATCAGGATATCGTTGTAGAAATTGTAATGCAATACCTTGACGATAATAAGCTTTACTCCAATTTGGACATAGATCACGGGCTTTATTTGCATCATGTAATGCTTTATCATAACGTCCCAAACGACAATAAACAGCCGAACGATTACCATAAACAATATGATTGGAATGATCCAATTTCAATGCCTCGCTATATAAACGTATAGCCGCTGTATAATCACCGGTTTGTATAGATTTTGCTGCCATTCGTATACGTTCGGAAAATATTTGTTGAATATTTTGATTCGAATTTGTTGTTGTTGAATTTTGTTGTTGTTGATGATCATCATTATTATCATTATCATTGTTGTTGGTCATCACATTATTCGTTGTTGAATCCAATTCAATCGATACAATCTGATTAAATGAAAAATGAAAAATTCACAAAATTGGAAAAACAAAAAAGCAAACCAAACCTCTTCAAGATCCAATGAATTTCTTGATTCCATCATTTTCAAGATTTAAAAAAGTTTTACAGTAAAAGTAAAATCACAAAAAATTGATAATCATGATGAAGTTGAATGGTTGAAACACATACACAAATCAAATTAGCAAATGAAAGAAATTTTTGAAAAAAAATAAAGAATGCCAATCGATTTGATTTGATGGTTCTTGAAGATAATATCATTCGATTCGTTGATCTGTCCTGTCTTGATGACGAGCTACACAAATGTGCCACCTTTCTATAACCGAGCAAGCCAAGCAAAAAAAAAAAACGAACGAACGACAACAACCTTTCGACGCGCGCCAATAACCAACGACGATAATAAACAAAACTCAATGCACGTCTTGGTAGCAAAACAACATTCCAATGGCCAGTCAATGATGATGATGACGGCGACAAAAACAACCAACCGACCAACCACTACTATGCAATTATTATCAACAATGACCATTCATTAGTAAGTATATTCTTGCCAAACTCAACTGGCTTACCTTTTTTGATATTGCCTACCTGAACTTTTTTTTTCTGAAGTAGGGTCGTGTTATAGATAAATTCAGCCGCCGGCTGCTGATGGTAATAATAAAGTCTATAAAGAATGATAATCATAGTAATCATCATCATCTAAATCATCATGATGTCCTTGATTTTCTATTCTTGATTCGTTTGCCCGTTGTTGACATCGTTGAGAATTATCTTTGAAATGTTTTTTTTTATTTTAAATCAAATTAGTTCAAAAATTGTTGTTTTTTGATTTGAAAAAAAAACAAACAAAGAAAATAATCTTTCAAGATTCAAGCTTGACTAGTCAAATTTCACTTATTTCAAAAAATCAATTACAAGTTTGTCTGAGCGAATGGCGGCACTTGATACCCGAAAAAGAAATGCCGGCCAACATGGAAAAACAAACAAAACACACACAATCATAAATCGAAGGTGATCGATATATTTTTTTAATTTAAAATTCTAAATAAAGAAAAACAGAAACAAATTTGGATAGAATCTCAATGAAAACAAACGAAAAAAAGAAAGAACAGTAAATATTGAATATGATAACAAAAGTGTGAAACAAAAATGGCTGATGATGATGACAAATGGCAAAATTGGATGATGAATATCGATTCTGGAAAATCCATTGTGTGTGACCTGATCACCATCGTTTATCGTACAATCATTGTTGCTAAAATTTGTTTGATTTAATCGATGATGACGGTGATTGTTGTTGTTGTTGCTTAAGAATAATCAATATTTTGTGCAATGATGTTTGAACAATAAGTTTATCATAATCCAATATGAATGATGTTGAAATATGACTATTATTATCATTAACATTATCGGATAGTTTACGATTGATAATTGTTTCCAAATGATTTAGATTTGTAGCAAAATAATTTTTAAAATAACGTTCAATAAGTATTGCAAATAGATTATTGAAAGACATAAAATGACAAGATGCAAATGTTGATGCGGCTGTTGGTAATGATGATAATGATGATGATTTATACGATGATGATGATGATGATAATTGATTCGAATGAACATGATGACCATATTGTTGAGAGATGGGCAATAAACGTTCGAATCGTATTGATTGTTCATCACAATCGATTAATAGCTCAACATATAATAAACATTTAATAAAATCCATTTCATAATGTTTATTACGTAATGATAAACGTTTTGGTTGTAGACGATGTCCAATTTTTAATTGACAATCAAGTTGAATTTTTAGATCGGAAATTAATACAGTAAAATTTAAAACAAAACGATTATTTCCTAAAAATCTTATAAAACCATCTTCCGATGTTTTCATTACATTTCGAAGACCATATATTCTATATTGATGTGTTTGAATGGTTACTGTTTTTGTTTTTTGGAAATGAAAAATATTAATTAACGATAGAATTATAACGATAAAAAACTAACCGAAAGAATTGAGCAAATGATCCCGATAATCATCGATTATTAATGGATCACATTGATCAGGTAGATGTTTACGATATGCGTCGATCATTATTTCAATAAATCGATCAGATCGTATTGATGATGATGATGATAATAATGATGAAGCTTGAGGTTTTGAATAAAATTTTGATAATTTTAAATAGAATTTTTCATCCAAATTTTGTTGTTGTTGTTGTTGAGATTTTTGTACACAATTATCACAGTATTGTTGTTGTTGTTGATTAGAATTATTGTTGTTGACTATGATTGATGGTATCGTTTCCGGTATCTTTGTTGTTGTTTTTGTTGTTGTATGATATGATTCGATTGATGATTGATTGGAATGAATTTGTTCATTATGATTTTGATTATTATTCAAATCTGTTTGTTGTTGCTGTTGTTGTCGACATGATTTTGATGATAACGATGATAATGGTGATGGTGATGATAATAATAATGGTTTTTCTGTCGATGATTCTAATGTTTGTGGCAACAATTCTTGTTGAATCAATTTCGAATGTTGACAATCGATTTCTTTTTCTAAATCGTCCATCACCGTTGTTGTTGTTATTGTTGTCGATGTTGTTGATGTTAATGATAAAAATTTCATCATATCTTTACCAATAAGAATATCATATAAAGATTTTAACCATAAAATTATATTCTGTTCCATGATTGGATTTGCATTTGAGATTTGTAAATCAAAGATTCAAAAACTGTATTAAAAAACAATCAAGAAATTCGAATCTTTTTTTGTGTTCGTTTCGAATGACAAAGTGGGCAGTGAGTATATCAACAACGACGATCATCCATTTTTCAAAGGTTTTTTTGATGATGATTTTTCAATTTTTTTAAAAATTAATTTTTTATTTTTCTGGCTCATTCATTTAGCATGATAATGATGATGACTCGTTGAAATTCAATCATCATCAACAACTGCTTTGGTGATTGTATCGATGATGACAATGTTCGATGTTCGATGGTGTTCACAAAGAAGAACGGAAATGAATGAAATCACAGAATTTTTTTTGAAAAATGACTATTCGATTATCATCTGGATGGATGGATAGATGTTTGAAGAATAAATGAATGTTAATGATGATGATGTTCACCACCGATCATGATGATGATTGAAAGAATTTACTTTTTGGATAAATGTCAAGATTTTCTTTGCCACCGACTAAACATCAGCCGAAACCAACCTTGGCAATGACTGATGATAATGATCGTTGTCGTCGAATTTATTTTGTTTCATTTTTTGCTGGCTGGCAACAACACAATACAATCAGCAACAACAAAAATCTATTTACGTAATTTGAAAATTTAAATCAAATGTGGGATTACATTAATTAACTAATTTAAATGAGAAGAAAAAAAAAACTTGGCAAAAGAAAAATGGTTGAAAATTTTCTGGTCGTATAGCGGAATATCATGAACATTTTGATGAACATCACCAACACAATCAGTGTCACCAGATATTAAAGATCTTGAGATAAGGTAAGATTAACCTGACCTAATCCTTTTTTTCTTTTGCTATCAAATTATCAAATTCAAATTTCGGACATCAATCATCATAAACATAACAAACAAGTAAAGTTGCACTCAAAAAAAATGTGATGTGAGTTGTGATATGTGAGAGAAATATATTGATATATTTTTTACACATAGAGAGAGAGAGGGAGAAAGAGTCTGTTTAAACATTAAAAGTGACAATAAAAATTTTTGTTTCTTTCATTCATTTTCTGCATAACATAACATAACATTACTTGTTTATTGTATGACGTATGATGAATGAAATGTAGATGTTTTTGTTAGATGTGTTGTCAATGGTAATTGATTGATTTGGTTGATGATATTATCATCAAATTCAATTCAATAATAATAATGATCATTCGTTTTGTAGACATTAAACAAATCTCGTATTACAAAAAAAAGTTTTTTATTCTCTTTTTTCTATCATTTTTTGAATTGAAAATTACAAGGATTTTGTTTTGTTTTTTTTTTTTGAAAATCATTGCATCAATGATGATGATGATGATGATGGCCTCATTCGATATGGGAGTGATGTAGATGAATTTTGTTGCTGTTGTCATTGTTTTTTTCGTTTTGTTTGGCACTATTTAGAATGATGATTATATAATCAGTAAATGAGAAGCAGTGGTGTGTTAGGATATGATGATGTTAGCTTAAATTTTGCTTTGAAGAGAGAATCGAATTAGTCACGAGTCTATGCAACTAACTTGCTATAATAATAAATGATGGTCATAATCAAAGTTATGTTCATAGTTGAGTGAGGTTAGGTTGATGACTATGACTATGATTGATAGTAGAGTGAGGTTAGGTTGATGACTATGACTATGCCTATGACTATGATTCATAGTTGAGTGAGGTTAGGTTAATCACTATGACTATGCCTATGACAATGATTCATAGTTGAGTGAGGTTAGGTTAATCACTATGACTATGCCTATGACTATGATTCATAGTTGAGTGAGGTTAGGTTGATCACTATATCTATGATACTAATTTGTAATATTACAAAAAGCATGAGGAACAAACAAAAGAAAAACTGTCAACTCATTTTATGATGATAATGATCGATCCATATTGTTTTGTTTTTACTTGTTGGCCACCACCGCACACACAAAACTCTCATTCATTAAAATTTTTCTCTAATTTCTCATGGAATATTCAATGTTGGGCTTTTTTTAATTATAAACTCATAGATTCAACCAAAGAGAAACTAAATACCTATTCTATTGAAGGAAAATTCGCCCCAAGAACAAAAACCAAACATTGATTTTATCTCGATCGATTTTCAATCAGGTTTTTCCCACTCCAAATTGTATCAATCTTGTTCATTTGATTGAAATATTTACTCAATTGATTGATTTGATCGATAAAATTGATTGATTGATTAATTTCTTTGGCTATATGCGCACCGTCTATTGGCAACAATTGTTTTTAAATTAAATTTTTTTCAAATTTTAAAAAAATATTTTAAAATTAAATTATTTCAACACTAGATGGCAACAGTTGTTTTATAAAACAAGAAATTAGATTTGAATTTTTTTCCACGGATATTTAAATTGACCACAAATACGAATGCAATTTTGAATCGAAATTTTATGCGAAAAGAAGCGAAAAACTAGTGACAAAAAAAATGACCGATTCTGTACAAATTTTTCTTCGATTACGTCCATGTATTGAACAACAACAACAACAACCACAACAAAAACAATCAAAAAATGTTTTAAAAAATCAAATGAAAATAAATGATGATAATACGATTGTATCGATAATAAATTCCGATCAAATTGAACAATATGAATTTGATCAGATTTTCAATACGGAAACCGATCAATCGACTATATTTACCCGGATATGTCGACCAATGTTAAAATCGTTGATTGATGAACAAAAAGATGCCCTATTATTTGCATATGGTATAACATCATCAGGTAAATCATATACAATTAATGGAATGCCTAGTGCACCTGGTCTAATACCACGTACATTGGCTTATCTATTTCAACAAATACCCACTCAACAATTATTTAATCATGAAAATTATCGTATCAAATCGAATAAACAAAATGGATTTTTTTTGGTCGAAATCAACAACAACAACAACGATGATCATTATTTTGATGATGAATGGGAAACATTTTGCCAATCGTTAGAATCAATGACATTATCATATGAACGAAAATATTTTCAAACATTAAAACAATGGTCCAATATTTGTATTGAAATTGATGACGATGATGATCATGAAGATAATGGTGAAGATGCAAAGATAATGAAAGAATCGCTGAAGAATGGACAGAAAAAATATTGCTTATTCATATCGTTTGTTGAAATATATAATAATTATATTTATGATTTATTGGAAATACCAAATCCCAAACAAATGAAATGGATACGAACAAGACATACACTAGTGAATGATTCAAATCAAATGGTTTATGTACAAGGTGTTCAGGAAATACAGGTAAAAAATCTTGACCAAGCATTTGGTGTTTATCTTTTTGGATTACAAAATCGTCAATTATCGCAAACAATGATGAATGAACAATCAAGTCGTTCACATAGTATATTTACATTGAAATTAATTCATTTGGATGATGATCATCTTGCTAAAGGTGGTGGTTATCCTAACCTTCAATTAAAAGTTAGTCAATTTTCAATTGTTGATTTGGCCGGTTTAGAACGTTTAAATCGAACCGGGAATTGTGGTAGAAAATTATTCGAAGCTGGTTGGATTAATAATTCATTGATGACTTTACGTACTTGTTTTGATGCAATACAAAAAATCAATAATAATCAAAATAATCAAAATACGGATCGAATATTGATACCATATCGTCAAAGTCGTTTAACATACTTGTTGAAACGTTTTTTTGAATTTCGTTCGACGATACGAATGATTTTATGTGCCAGTTTCGAACGAGAAAATTTCGGTGAAAATCTGCATGTATTGAATTTTGGACGAAAAATTCAACGAATTCGTTTGGATTTAGTACAAATTCGTCAACGAAATCTATCCGGTGATTCAATTCCAGATGATGGTCAAGATGAACTGAATTATGGTGATCTTGAAGAAGATCAGAATAAGGAATCACCAACGATGAAAAACATTGAAAATTTCAGACAAAATTTTCAACAATTTGAATCAAAATTGAATGATTTATCCGATCGAATGGAATCAATTTGTAAGTTTTTCGTTTGATTGAGAATTTGATTTTGATTGTTTCGTTGATTTTCCGTAACTTTAGTACAAAAATTGGATCAATCATTGAAACATTTACCGCCAACACGTCTGGATCGACAACCAATATTTTTACCATTACAATTATTATCATCAACTATGGCAGAAAATAATCGTTTAAATTTCCAACAAATTCTTTTACGATTACAACAACAACAAAAATCATTGAACAACAATAATCAATCATCAAAATCATTGATTGAATTACGTGAATTTCGTCATGAATTACATCGTTGGCAACAGGATAATCGTGAATTGGAAACAAAATTTATTGCATTATGTGAGTGTTTTGAAAAGAGTTTTTTTTAAAATCACAATTTTTAAAATTTCAAATTTCCATTTTTCCATTTACCATTAATCATCGAATGATCAATGATAGTGGCCGATTGCCAACAACGTTATCGTGTCGATTTATCATCATCATCATCGGTTTCCCATCATCAACCATCAACAATGAATGGAAAATTTAATGAAACAACCATGAATGTTTATGATCGTCTTTATTATCAATCACCAGCCAGATATAAACAAAATCAATTAATAAATCGATCAATAATTGAATCAAATAATCGTTTTCAGATCAATTTGAAGACAAAGACAAAAACAACAGCGACCACGACAACGATAAAAAAATTACCACCATTTCGAAGTAATCAAAGTGGTGGTGGTGGTAATATTGTCAATCAATATGTTCATCGTTTTGTGACTAATACCGGTACCGGTGTTGTTGGTGGTGGTGGCGGTAGTGTTTATCGTTCGGCTGCTGCTATTCGTCGACCAAATCCAACTGCGTCAATAGGACCAACACCGATAAAACGTTCAACCGGTGGCAGTACAAAGATAATTCCACGAATGCGAACGATAATGTCAACAACAACGACGACGGATAAAAATTTCAATGGAAAAACTATAACAATCGTTAATAATAAACGACAAATGTCGGATAAAATTCGTAAATTATGTAGAAAATTCGAACCAATAGAAAAACTAGAAAAATCTATTGTTAAACGTAAATTATTTTAAATTCATAAAAATAAAAAACAACAAACAACAACATGTATAACCCATTCGAACTTTGTTTCCCCTCAACTCACCTCGAACACTAATGATAATAATCTTATCAGAAAAAAAAGACACATACACACCGTGTGTTTATAAGTCAATCATATCAGGTCAGGTTAGGTCAATCATCTGATTATCATCATCCGATTTTCATTAATTTTGTCTTTGTTTGAAAGAAAGAGAAAACATTTCAATATTTAAATTATGTTTCATTCGTCCACGATTGGTCAGTCGATATATGTTTGTTTTCTATTTCCACTTTAATGTGGGTAATTAAGTCAAAATAAACCGATCAACATAACTAACTAATGTTTATTATCGAAGAACCGTTATATAACTGTTTTTGTTCATCAAAAAAAAAAATTCAAATTCAGGACATTGGCCTATTGATGAAATGATCATTCTTGGATTGTGCATATTTCTTCATTTGCTGCTGATGATGATGCTATTAATATGAATTTGTTTTTCATTTATTTTTTTGCAGATATTTTTAGATTTTTTATTTCTGTTTTTTTTTCAGGTAAAATATACAGAACATCATCGATATATTTATTTATTATATAATTATTACTTTTTTCTTAAATATTAAAAATAGGTAATCATCATCATCATCATCATCAGCTATCAGTCAGACAGGTTTTTTTCGTTGTTTAGTTTCTTTTAGTTTTTAACTTTTTTGCTTTTAGCTAATTTTTTTCGAGTTTTAATTTGATTCAATGAATGAATGATGATCATCATTGCATCCAGCCATTTTTAAATCGTTTGCACCAAAAAGAAAACTATTTCCACACAAGTTTGTTGATGATGATGAACCTCTCTCACTCTATATCTACCTTAGTGAAGAAAAATCAAGATATAACTGGACCTTAAAGTAATGAAAATAACAAGTCGCTCGGTTTAGTTCATCATCACCAGCCAAGCAAGTAAAGAGATTTTTTTCAATAAAAATTTTTCCTGATTTTTTTTTCATTTTGAAATTGATATTAATCCATGGTGGTGGTCAGAAATTTTCGACCAGAAACAAATCACCAGTCATGATCAACTGGTTTTTTTCATCATCAGTAATATCGACCACTTTAGACGTCGAATATGAATATGGATATGAACGATGCTTAAAGCTTGTCACCAAAACAGAATTTATTCATTTTTTAAATAAAGTTTTTTATCAATTTATCGAAGAAAAATTTTCCTTTTCTGATCAATAACCGGTCAGTACTGGATTTTTTTTTTAAAGTAAGGATCGTCCGTGAATGACATTAACAAAAAAAACAATCAATCATTTTACAATCTCTTGGCAAGTTTCATTTTACGAATTTTAATTTTTAAAATTTTAAAATTTTTAAAAAAAATGTTTTAATTTTCTCTTTCGGGTGATTCTCAATCAATCGACTTGAGAAACAAAAAACAAATCAACTAATCGATCAAATGAATATGTAACCAAACCGAAACAATGAAACGATTTTTTTGAATTAAATCAAATCAGTCATTATTATCATTTCGATAATTAATATTTCCCTCCCAGTATCAAAAAAACAAAAATTAACATGTATTCAAGACAAAGATTATGATGTGAACATACAAACAACGACAATTTTGTAAAAGTTTGTCACATGGGTTTGTTTTGATTGGATTTGCTTTAGTTTTGTTTGTTATGACAAAACAAAAACTAATTTTATAAACCTGGAACGAACAACATTAACATTATGATTATTATTGTTTATTAATTATCATTATAAACGGATAATTATNAAACAGTGATGATGATCAACTGGTTTTTTTCATCATCAGTAATATCGACCACTTTAGACGTCGAATATGGATATGAACGATGCTTAAAGCTTGTCACCAAAACAGAATTTATTCATTTTTTTAAAAAGTTTTTTATCAATTTATCGAAGAAAAATTTTCCTTTTCTGATCAATAACCGGTCAGTACTGGATTTTTTTTTCTTTATTAAAAGTAAGGATCGTCCCGAGAATGACATTAACAGGAAAAAAACAATCAATCATTTTACGATCTCTTGGCAAGTTTCATTTTACGAATTTTAATTTTTAAAAATTTTTTTAAAATGTTTTCTTTCGGGTGATCAATCGACTTGAGAAACAAAACAACTAATCGATCAAACGCTTTTATTGAATGAATGTAACCGAAACAATGAAACGTTATTTTTTTTTTGAATCAAATCAAACCAAATCAATCAGTCATTATTATCATTTCGATAATTAATATTTCCCTCCCTCCCAGTATCAAAAAAACAAATATTAACATGTCTTCAAAACAATGATTATGATGTGAACATAGAAAACAACAACAATTTTGTAAAAGTTTGTCACATGGGTTTGTTTTGGTTGGATTAGATTTAGTTTATAGTTTGTTATGACAAAACCAAAACTAATTTTATAAACCTGGAAAAAAAGAACATTAACATTATGATTATTATTGTTTATTAATTATCATTATAAACGGATAATTATATTTCTCTGTGTGTGTGTTTGTGTGTCAAATGGTATGCGTCACGAGATAAGTAACTAAATGTAAATTTATTTGTTCAACAGGTGACAGACAAGAATAGAGAAATTGAAAATGTTATGTTATTGAAATTAGCCAGAAAAAAATGGAAAAAGAAAATTGTCAACATTAACCGAAGGGATCATCGATCAATGATCAATTTTATTGTTTTGGATGACAATTAACTTGACCAGTTGTATAGGACATTGTTTTATGATCGGATGATTCATGTTCAAATAATTCAACTGTACAGGATAGGATCTATTGGTTGAAATTGGTGAAAAGAAAACAAAAGGGTTAAATTAATAGATCGAATCAAATCAATTGAAACTTACCTGTGTAGATGTGGATGAATCAGTAACATATAATTCAACTGAATATTTTGGTGATTCACCAAACGTATACACTAAACGTTTTAATTGATATTGATGATTATCATGTTGTTTATTATGTTGATAATCATTAATGGCATCCATTAATAAATGTATTATACGTTTTCCGGTTGGATCATTTTCATCGATAATCAATTGTCCATTAACAACATTGTTGATAATAACAATCAACAATATCGACAAAATTGATGCGCTCAATGATTTCATCTTCGTTTGTTTCGAAAAGAATTGGCAGACAAAAAATTGGTAAACTTTAATGTTTTTTTTTAGAAAAATTATTTAGTTTTTATTTCATTTTCGTTTTTTCTTATAAATAGGATATAAATATCGATTGATTGATCAATTGATAACACACAAAATCAATTAAATATAGAAAAACAATAATATTAATAATGGAAAAATTTCAACACAGGATTTGAAAATGGGGGGCAAAAAAAATTAATAATTTACAGATATCACACACAAACACAAACACAGAGAGAGACTATTACAATGCAATACAATACAGTGTCTGGATAATCGATCAATATCGGATTGCACACATTGTATTGATCAATCGATTGATGGATCGATCAGGTTATAAGTAACTAAAGGGAGATAAATAATGACGATTCGATAACAATCGATACTTGACTTTGAGAAAGAAAAAGTATTGTTATTTGATTTGATTGATTTGTGGACATTGTTTGTTTGTTTGATGATGATCCGGGATCATCATCATCATCATCAAATTCATTTGATTGATTGATTGATCGATTTGCTAGATTGATGTTTTAATCAATTTCCAAAAATGTCTTTCATCTTTTGGTTTATTATTCAATGGTTTTTTGTTGTTAGCTACCTGTTGATGATGATCATGATGATTGTGATTATCTTTTTGTTGTTGATCATTTAAAACTAATAAATCATCATCAATAACATCAGGTGTTTTCATTTGATTAAAATCTTTAACAAAATCATTGGAAATTTTTAAAAATTTTGTTAGATTATCATTATTATCACCTTGTTTAGATTCAGTTTTCTTTTCAAAATTATATGAATGATTATATTCATGTAGAAATTGTTGTTGTTGTTGTTTTCGATTAGGATTCTTTGATTTTGATTTTGTTTTTTTATCATCATCATCATCATTTTGTTCTTCATGATGAACTTGAATCAATTTGGTTATTTTTTTAAATTTTTTCTTCAATCCACCGTTATCGTCGTCATTGTTGATAATTTCAATTTTCGGTATGATACGATCACCAAATACAAGTTTTGGTATCATTTCGATTGGATCATCATCGATATTATCATTCGATTTTGATTTTTCTTGGTGATTTTCGTTTTTTCGCTTTTGTTTTTTCATTTGTTGTTTTTTTGCTTCATCATTAATTCTGGAACTCAATAAATAGGAATAAATTGTTTCCGGAACTTTTCCCGGTTCTTTGTTTTTGTTGTCATTCGATTTCTTGGAAAATTTTTCATCACCATAATATGGATAATATTCGGTGGTTGTTGTAGTTGGAATTTTCAACTTTTTCGATTTTATTGTTTTCGGTTTTTGATCAATTGTTTCATAATGTATACCATCTTCAGGACGAAAATTAAAAACACGAAGAAAATGATCAAAATCTTTAGGTTTGTTATCATCGGTATCAACTTTCTTTTTTGTTTTAATTTTCTTTTCGTTTGATTTATCTTTCGAAGAAGATTTTCGTTTGGACTTGGATTTAGATTTTTTTGGCTTTTCAAATTCCACTATTGAACGTTCCTGTTTAACTTTTGATTGCTTTGATTTGGATTTCAAAGATTTCGAAGATTTATCGGCATAAACAACCGGTACTTTTATTTGGAAAATTTTTCCATCATCATCACTATTGGACAATGAATTATCATCGAATTTTGGTTCAATTTTTATCTGGAAATTTTTATGATGCATACTTTTATCATTGGGCAATGATTTAATTTTCATATGATGGTCACCATCACCATTATCATCATCAAAATGTTGTCTACTTTTTGTTTTTGTTGACATTTTTCGTCCCGCATTTTCCCATCGACCAACATTACTTTTTTGTCCATCATAATTATAATCATCATCTTTATCATCTTGATGATCATCATCAACTTTACCATTACCATCACCACTATTATCATCATCTTTATGTTCATCATCACCGTTATTATAATTAAGCAGTAAATTATCCATTATACTGTCCAATTTGATACTGTTATCTGCCATTATTTGTTGATCATCTGCATTCGTTGTTGTTGATGGTGATAATTTTAATAATTTTGGTCCCATTCCTGTCCTAATCTTCGGTGGTGGTGATAATTTTTTTGTCACAATTTCATTTTTAGATTCATTCATTATCATTGAACTTGTCTTTGTTGACGACGAAGATGATCGTTGTTTTTGTTGTTGTTTTGAATCTTTACTCGCGGGAATTCGTAGCCAAAGTTCATCCGTAACATTATCATCATGTTGATGATCATTTATTTGGCCATTTATTGATGATGATTTCTTTGGCCGCTGTTTTCGTCGTCGTTGAATACGTCGAATCAATATATATTGTTCCATTTCACCATCACCATCATTATGATCAATATTCGAATCCCGATGATGATCATCATTTATGAATGAATCCTTATGATTTTCATTTGAATTCGAGCTTCGTTCCTGTTTTTTCGACTTTGTTTTCATTCGAAATTTTTGTCCATCTTCATCATCATGATGATGATTATTGTTGTTAATTGTTTTCCCATCATCATCATTTTTGATGTTTTTTGTTATTTCATGATCATCATCATCATCTTCACCGGATTTATCGCGTTTATCATCCATCATTGTCATATGATTATCATTTTTATGTTGTTCATCAACCAGATCATCATTCTCATCACCATGATTCTCACCATTATCATCTTTATGATGATGATTATGATTAGCACGACGTTCTTGACGTTCACCATGTTGTTGATGTTTATGATTATCATCTTTTTCATCATCATCTTCACTATGATTATTAATTTGAATTTTTTTAACAAAATTTTTCTTAAATTGGCCATCATCATCATCATTTTGTTTTTGTCTTTGTTTATGTTGACCAATGTTGTTGTTGGTTATTGTCGAAGGTGTTATACGTAATGTTAATGCTTGAAATGATTCACCATGATTATCATCATTATTATGATTGTTATCACCATTGATTTTTGATGATTGTGGTGATAATGGTAAACAAATAATAGTAATACCATCCGGTCGACGAAATGTTTTTGCTTGCATTGTTGGCTTCGAATTATGGCCATCATCATCATTATCATTTATTGATGATGATGATTTTATTGTACCACATGCATTTTGTTTATCAGCAATTTCGGTAATAATACCATAGATAAGTAAACGTAATACTAATACCATATTTGATGATTATCAGATTGGAGAAAATTTCCAGGGAACAGAAAAAAAATATTTTAAAAATATTTTTTTCGAATGAAAAAATTTTCTTTCCCCCCTACCGTAGACCGAAAGGTTAATTTTTTTTTGTTAACCTCGAAATATTTTTATTGGTTACTTGTTTGGCGAGAAAAAAATTTGTTTTTTTTTTCTATATTTCGTTTCGCTTATCTCATATGAATATTAAATGCGGTAAACAACGAAACGAAACGACGATCCGATCAGTTGAAAAAAGCCGGTCATCATGATGATGATGATCGGTCATGATGCTGCTGGTGATGGTGATCCGTTCATTTTATTTTTAAAAATTTTTTTTTCAGCGAAAAAAAAAATTCAATGACCATCACATCATTTCATTTGTCGAATAGTTGTTGTTGATGTAATGTGATGATGATGATGTTCATCATCATCATAGTTTGACGAACGACGATCGAACCGAAAAAAAACGCCAGAGGTTTTTTTTTGTTGATCGAAGTGCAGCAGAGTTAAATGGTAAGTTTGAATTGAAAAATGGCCGAATTTTTTTTTCGTTGGAAATCTTAGTGTTTTTCGATATAGCTTGTTTTTGTTTTTGTTTTTGATGTCGATGTTGTTAATGTTGTTTGGTGGTCATAAAAAAACAGGATTATCACTGAAGAATGATGATGATAATGACCGATTGCCTTTACCAACCGACGACGACGACTGTGTGATTCGAATTTTTTTTTCGGTTGGTTTGGTTATTTTTAGAGTTAATGGGATTCCATTTGAAATGAATAAATGAACAAACAGACAAACATTTATTCCAATACACACCAATCAGCTGATAATCGGATCAATCGAAAAAAAAGATTGCAGGTTTGTTTTTTGTTTTCTGGTATCAATTTCGGTAAATATTGTTCTATTCGTCGATAATTTGCCAAATACAACAAAACAAAACAAATAAACGGGTGTGTGTAAATAGAAAATTTGTGAAAAACAAACACAAACAAACAAACACCGAATACAGGTAGGCACAGGTAAACAAATACTTTTGGTTATGAAACAAAAATGAAAATGAAAAACATTTAACAAAACAAAAAAATTTGATTTGATTTTTTCCTTTATTTTCGTTTTCGTTTTTCTGGTAGATTGGACAGACAAAAGCACAAAAACAGAAAGAAAAATTATCTTCAAACAAACAAAAAAAAGGGATTTCTGAATGTCAAATGTAACGGGGTGAGGAAAAACTAACAAACAACAAAAAAAAATTTTGTTCTGGATCAACAACTGGCAAAACACAATCGGAACTAATTATAATCGTTGGTTTTTAAAATATTTTTCTAGATCAATCAACCACCACCACCATAAACCATTATTTATCATCAAGAGATAATCAAGCAAAAGAAAGAAAAGAACAAAAAAATGTTGTCGAGGACATCATCGATATCATTGATAATTGTTTGTGTGTGTTGACTACCAGTGTTGACATTTTCAAAATGACAATGAAAAAATTGTTTTGGAAAAATTTCAAATTTCTCTTTGAATACTGAATGGCATGGTCCATTATCTCCTGATTACATCTAAATAAAACGTAAGTTGTTGTTTGTTTATTTGGTTGTAATTGGAACGAACAAACACCAATCAATCAGATCAAACGATTGAGATTGAAATTTCACAATTTTTTTTTCTGTTGTCAATACAGAATGAATCAATCAATCGATTGATTGATCGAGTGAAATATGACTACGATGACAACAACGATTTTCAACATCACTTAATCAATTTGACAAGTTTTTTTTCAAATTTAAATTTGAAAAAATCAACAATCAAAGGTCATCATCATTCCGGTAACAACATTGATTGATGTCCGACAACCAAAAAAAAACAAGTTTTCTTTTCAGATTTCAATATTGATAATAATCAAAGATGACCAAATAGAAGCCCGATGGATAAATCTATCTTTGAAAAGAACGAAAAAAAACTAAATTAAATGAAGACGAAAAAAAACCGGACCAGTTTAGCCCGGTTATGATTACGATAACGACGACGATGATGATATCGTCCGTAAATCAGTTTGTCTCATTCATTCATTTAGTCATCCAGCCAGCCAGCGAAAAAATCATCAATCAAATCGATCGATTCGATTCGAAAAAAAGGATTGATCGTTTATTTTATTTTATTAGTCAGACTTGATATCGACAAATAATCGATTTGAATCGATTTAATCGATTTTCAATAAAGTTGTTGTTGTTTGTTGTGTTTCCACAATTTTCAATTCATGATGATCATGATAATCGTGATCATCATCGAAAAACAAAACGTCATATACGATCAGACCATTGATAATTACTTATTTCGTTGTGTGAGAAAAAAAGATGATGCGGATGTTTTAATTTATATTACAAATTGTCACCAATTTTGGCTGAAACAACAACCAAACTTACCAAAAATAGTTTTTTTTCATTTTCGGTTTTATTAATCACTTTTAAAGATCAGTGAAAAGACACACACACTGGAAACAACAAGATAAACTTGTTCATCATAATCATCATCGTCGTCGTCAAACTAATCTCCATTTTGATTGAGAAAAAAAAAGAATTCAAAGTGAGAGACGAAAGAAACATCCAGCAAGCCAATCTAAGAACTTATTAAAAATAAAGATGTATCTTATCAATAATCATCAAGATTGACCAGAAATAGAGATGAACAAAAAAAATTACATTATTTATGAATGAACCAGACCGGATAAGCACGAAAAAATTAATTATCAAAGTAGGAAAAACATTAATTGATTAAAAATAGATTATATTTTTGTTTGGAAGAAAAAAAAGACACCAAAAGGATTAAGATGTATGATTTGGGCAAGTTATAATTAGATAGAATAATCAGATGGATTGTTGATTGGTTGTTGTTGTTGGTTTGGTCGTTTTTCAATGAGGTTAGGTTTATTCAAATTCTAATTCATTAAATGATCGTACACGTGGCATACGTCTACCTTCTTCATCCAAACGTTCAATATTACGACGATGTGTTAATACTAAAACAACAGTCATACCAATTGATTCGGCAGCACGTCCTTCAATGGATGATTTTGTTAAAAAGATTACATTTTCTGGTTGTTCATTAATACGATCTAAAACACGACGAAATGTTTCTGCATCAGTCAATTGTCCCAGGCTTGTATCAAAATAGCCATCAATTAATAGATTTAAATCACCATGATTAGTTTTCATTAAAAAACGTCTTGTTGCTTCAGCCCAACCATTACTAAAAACATAAAGTTTAATATCTTGATCACAACGCCATTTTTGTATCTGTATGGCAACATCGGAATAAACTGGTGTTTCCAAACGATTTTTCGAATAACCATCAAACCACATATGAAACCTATTAACAAAGGATTAATATATTTTCAATTTTCTCAACCCTAGCCACTTACCTTAACAATGTAATTGCTTTATTTTCATTATGAGTATCCAAACAATAACGAACATACTCAAATGCTGATTCAATATCCGAATCCATATTTGTTGTTGCTGATTCATTTGGATCTAGTTGAATTTTTGGTGCCATTGGATCGGATTCGGCTTCGGCTTTCATTTGTTCTAAATCCATTCGAACTTGTTTTGAATTCCAATTTTCACGCATGTAACGATGAAAATTTGTCGTTATATATGGTATAAGTAATTTATCAATGAATTTAGTTTTGGCAACCGTACCGGTTATATCAAATAATACGGCATGCGGTTTTTTTAATCGTAATTGTACCATTATATTCTTCTTATCAAGATATTACCCGATGTTTGTTTGTTTTGGTTCAATGCTAGGTATTGGATTTTGCACCAGAAAACAACCAGATTAGTTTTAAAATAATAACTTTGAAAATTCAACCAAAATCATTCCAATTTATAATCGAAAACCATAATTGAATTTTAATTTCCATAATAATCATTGTTGATTGCAAATCTGTTTAATCAAATTTGAATTTTGTTTGCAATGACCAACAACAACATTTGAAGAAAAATTGTGAAAAGATTTTTGAATAACGAACAAAAAAAATCTGATTGAAACACCAAGATAAATAATAATAAAAAATCTAATCAAATATGCATGATCACGTGTTAGTATTTAATGATCAACACAGATTAAAAACAACTATTTTATTTTATTTATAAAAACAAATCATCTCATCATTAAAATAACATCACATCTAATAAATAATAAAAACAAATGAACAACTGACATTAATCAATTTATGTCTTTTATACAAACATCTAATGCCTGATTAGTTTGACCTTGACTCAAGTCATAGTCTCCAACATCACGGCCAAAAATTAACCATCAACGATCATGATTATCATCATCGTTGTATAAAGTCAAAATAGTTAACTTAAATAATAATAAAGATTATCTCAAACCAATGATGATGATGATGATTGGCCAAATTGTTATGGTCGGTTGTTTGAAAACACAGTGTGATCATATGATTAAATTTGAATACAGATCAAAAAACGACCTCAAAATAAAAAAAAACTAGTAATGATAATAACGATAACAAGATAACAAGCTTGTACTTAGTAAATGGATGAATGAATGAACGAACGCCAATGTAAGTGGAAATAGTCAAAATTTATGTCGAATGACAATTGGACACACTGGAAATTATTGATTATCGTTTGGTATTTTTTTTCATTGATTGATTGGTTATCACTTTGATTATGAAAGTTTTTTTTGTTAAATTGATGATAATAATGGGTTTTGAATTTTTGATCAAAAAAAATGACACATGATCCTGGAACAAACAAAAACGCCTTAAGAATATTGATTCACATACACACTATGATGGCACTATATTTTTGAATTACTTCACTGTTATTTCTTCTTTAAAAGGATAAGGACCAATCATCATCATGATGTTAATACTACGTGTTTGACATGATATCAGGAGATCAAAGACACAAGATTAAAATATGATAATCATTATTATGATGTGCTAAGAGATTATTATCAGATCCAAATATCCAATCCAAATTCAAATCAATCGAACGGAGAAAAAAAAGATCAAACTGTTTCAATTTCACCATCATCGCCATCGATCGATGTAATTATCCATTTGAATGACCAGAGTACGGATGGCCACCGGCCACCACCACCATTATCATCATTTTCAAAATGTAAATTTTTTTCTTTTTTTTCAAAATTGAACTTATTTACAATTTGAAACACACACCGATCGATCGACCGATCTTATTTGATTGATAAATTTTCTACTATAAAGATAAAGATATTAACTAACAAACAAACATGCATTGAGGGCAACAAAGTTTTTTCCAAAAATCATCATCATTGTCTTTGGCCATAAATATTAAACCACACGAACGAAACGTCAAAAATGTCAAGGATCTTCTTCTTCTTCATCTTTGGAACAATATTTGTAATAAAAATTTTTTTTAATAATTTTCCCTTGTTTCATCATTAAATTTGTTTAATTAATTAAGTTTTTTTGTTTTGTTTTGGGAAACTGAATGAATGACAAAATGAATGACCAAAAATATTGTTCAAAACAAACAGGTATTGCATTCGTTTGTTTGTTGTTGTTATTGACAATAAAAAATAGATGGTTATCAGTGAAAAATCAATATATTTTCTGATTTAATTTGATGAAATTTCTGTCAAACAAAAAATTCTTGAATTTTAATGACGTAATTCATTGACTTGATTGAAATTTGAAATTTCAATTTTTTGTTGTTGATGCAATACCTGGTTTGGTTATGTTTATCTTCAAAATCAATCAATTGAAAAAAAAACAAACATCTTTTTGGTTGTCAACAACAACAACAACATCGAGAGAGAGAATTTCTTTGGAATCAGGAAATTTTTTTTCCTAAATCTGTCGAAATAGTCATCTTATGAAAATATATAAACCTAGGCCATTTTTACTTGTAAGTTCCATCCAAAAAAAAAGTTAATGTTTCAAAAAACTCAGTCGAAAAAAAAATTTGAATTTACCTTCAGGGAGACTTAAACGATTTGTATCGTTTTTCAAATAATTACCCGCGCAACTTATAGTTTTACAAACCGAAAAAGCGCAAAACACGCGCAATTTTTGAGGTCAATTTCAAAAGTGATTTCCCAAACAGCAGCAGCAGCAGCCAGCACATTCAATGAAAACACAAATGAACCAATCGATCGATCGATCAATCAGCCATCTATATCGACAACAACAGTTCATTTTTTTTTTGTTTGTATTTGATGGATGATGAAAATTCCTTGTGATAATGATGATAATAATCAATGATAATGAATGAATGAACGAAAAAACATTTGAAGAAACATGTTGCAACAATGTGTGCAATGGGCCAGCATTTTTTTTGGAACGAAATTGGAACGTGAACTTTTTTTTGGCTTTTAAGTTGAGCTTAATTTTGTTTTGTTTTAACAAAAAGTAATTATCAAATGAAATGATCGGTGATGATCATCATCAGATCAATAGAAAACTGATGATGATCATTGAAATTACGGATCGATGACAAATCAATTTCAAGCAAAGCGTTTTAGAAATTTTTTTTTGAAACTTTTTCATTCAATTTTGACGATTTTACACGAGTCATTTGGTCACGAGCATCTTTTGTATTGTTTTTAATCATCCAAATGATCATCATCACTTTGTCTTTGAAAATTGCGAAATTTTCTTTTCTTTTTCAAAGTTTTGTTTTTCATGTTAATTAAAAAAATAATAATAAAAAAATTTGTTTCGTTTGTTCAAAATGACCATATTATGGCCATTTAAAGCAAAAATTAATTTTTTTATTGCTCATCATCCATATCATCATCAATCAATAAATAATCAATAATCAATATTGATTCTACAAAGAAAAAATTGATTACAAAATTTCTTGCATAAAAATAAATTTCTTTGCGAAAAACAAACCAAAAAAATGAATGTTTGCATATCTTTTGATACAATCTGCCAAAAAAAAACATCTTGATCTTTGTGTGTGATAATATTCAGCAAAAAAACAAAACAAAATTTGTCTTAATGCTATGTGTGTGTAGAAATTAATAATAATAATCATAAAAATTGCCCGTTCCATTTGGATTGCTGGAGATTACTTGTTGCTGTTGTTACATGATGATCACGACACATGTATCACGTGTCTTACACATCGCGCAACAGTAGTATGCCAGTATTACAGTTACAGTTACAAAGTTGATGTTTTTTTTTTGGAAAAAGTTTTTTTTTTAATAATTGAAATTTTCTTTGCATTCGAAAGACAAAAAAAAATCCAATTTCCGTTTTATGTAAACTTAATGAAATTGTGTCAAAAAAATGACTAAGATTAATCACATAAACAAAAAAATGTTATAATATTGCAATAACATACATACCCTTACCATTATCATCACCAACAACAGCCAAACATCATCATTCACTAACAATATCGAATCAACCAACCGTTTCAATGGACAAAATGGACATCCACATTTTCGGCTATATAAATAAGCGAAAAAATGTAATAAAATTTTCAGAAAAGATTCCATCATCAAATTCTTGCGATTCGAACGAAAATGAAACTACAACCAGTAATCCGCTGTCCAGTCCTTTTATCAACGGTAATCCTCATATCATGGATTATGCTGATTGGTCAAATCGTCGATGGATGTCCACCACCAATGACAAAAATTGTTTATAAAAAAGTTCCCTATACAATCATTCAAAAAGTACCATACATAAAAGAAGTAATCAAAGAGGTTAAAGTTCCTGTTTATATTCATAAACAACATCATGATGATCACCACGATGATGAACATGGTGGTAAACATGGTCATCATACGATTATGGCACAAAAAAAGATTAAATTCCATCCAAATGATCATCATCATCATGATACTTTTGGACATTTTTAGCTCATTTTTTGTTTCTCATAGAAAATCTTTTTTTGTAAACTTGAAAAAATTTGAATAAATAAAATTTTTGTTTGTTTTGCTTATTTTCAACCAAACCAAATTGATTAAATTTAGCCATATTTGCTTGATTAATCAAGTGATTCGAAAATAAAATCAGCCGATATTAAATCGATTATCAATCGATCGATTGATTTTTTGTTTATCGTTCATTTGTTTCATGCAAAATTAATTGAATTTTAACAAATTTTTTTTCTTGTACACGAGTTTTTCTTCCATGACATTTCTGTTTGTTTGAGTTGATTTGACTGATTTAATTTGATTTGATTTACATTCAAAATTAACAAAATTAATAATTTTTTTGTTGTTGATTGATAAAAGATCTGATCCATGTTATCGCCTCATAAACATAACTTGAGATAACTGGAAACATTTCAGGAAGCGAAAAAACCAAAATGTTTCCCGCCGTTTTTACCTTTTCGTTCGATTATCATCATCGATTGACATGATGATGATAATCGATGAATCATTATTATTGATCAATAATGATGATGATTATGATTATTGATTAGCGATTGATTTTTTTGATTGGATCCAAAACTAAAGTAAAATAATCTCTTGTTACATACCACAAATTGAATGAGTCATGCAATGATAATGGGGTAATCAAATGGTCTATTTTGACAATGCTAGGTCCAAATTATCACCAAAAAAATTTATCAAATGATAAAAAAACCTGACCAGGTGATAACTTTGTGATAATTTTTTGGTCAAAATTTTGTTGTTTTGTTTGTTTTCTGGGTCGAACATATCTATATAAATAAAAACAAAATCGACCACTAACACTTTATTCGATCATTAAGTATATTTCGTTTCGTTTCAAGTTTTCAGTTTTTTTTTTATTTGTTTCAGTTTCGTTTCGCAAAATCCATTCGACCAATTTGCAAAATCTTCATCTCCATCTTCATTCAACATTCAACAAAATCTTCGATAATTAAAGGCTTTAGGCTTTTCGTTTTTTCCCGATCAATTCCTTCAACTTGCTTACTTCTTGTCCATTTTATTTCCGATCTCTTTCTCTGTGTTTGTTGTTTATGTCCAACAGCAGCTGAATTAACAACAAAAAAAAACAAGTATCAAATAACAGGTTACCCAATATAAACAGATATACAGATTTGGCCTGATTCGAATTGAAATAATAATAATTATTATTATTAGTTTTTCCGTGTTTCTGTTTTGGCTGGAAATCATCATCATTTATCGTGGAAATAGTCGACATCGATCCATTCATAAATGACATAACATTATTAATTTTTTTTTGAATTGATAATTTCGTTTCGTTTTTTACGATCTTTAACAACGACGACGGAAGTGCAATCATCATCATCATCTATATTGATTTGAAGAAATTTTCATTTTTGCAAATTAAATTTATTACCATCATCATTGTTCCTGGATCAAACCGAATTTTTATTAATTTATCGTTATTGCTGTTATCATTCGTTGCTCGATTGAAAAACAAAACTTCAAAACCTTTTTTTTCAACCAACTGGAAAAACAACATAGATTTTTTTCTCCTACTAAATTCATTTAAACTGACCAAAAATAACAAGTTTCCTTTTTGATTATCATCAATTTTGCTCAATAACTTGATTACCATCATCATCTTCAAAAACCGACTTTTTTTTCTCCAAAGCATCTTTAGCCATCATCATCCTATAGGTAAGTCTTCTCCTTTTTTTTTGATTGAAGAAAAAAATACTTTATCCATTTTTCAATCGATGAACCGACCGACCGTGTGTGATACATCAGGGTTATAGGTCAATAAGCCCGTTTTAAGCCGTATCTTTCACTCGGGTTGTTTTTTTTTTGTTATCTTTTTTTTCGTTTTAAAGATGTTTTATTTTTATTTATTTCAATTAGCTTGATTTCTGCGAAAACAGAAACAGAAATAAACAGCAAATTCCTTTACCAAACGGACTAGTAATTTTTGTTTAATCAAAAAAAGAAAATAGATTCCTGTTTGATCATCCATTCACACACACACACAGTAGCTATTTCTAGATTTTTTGAAATTTTCGAAAATTTTTTTTTTGAAAATTTATTCATTTTTTCATCATCATCTTTAATCAGATAAGATTTCTTGTTTTTTTTTGTGTTTCTGATCGTACTCGAAATCAAATCAATTTCAGATCAAATTTGATTAGGATTTTTTCTCCTCGAAGTAAACAACAACAAATATTATCGATCTATATGTGTTTTCTTACTTTTTTCTGATTTCAATTTTGAATTTCCAAATTTCATTTTGTTGAAATTAAATCAAACAAGAAATTGGTTATGTCACACACAGTAATTATGCCATTAATTTCTCTCTCTCTTGCTTGATTTCTTCTTCTTGTTGTTATACACACTTGTTTGTATCAAAATATTATTATTATTTAAAATTTTTTTGGAAAATTCTCACCTCTTAGTTCATCATGTAAGAAACAAACAAAAAAGAGAAAGAAAAATGATGTTCATATAGGATATATTAATAATTATCTTAAAGCAAAAAAAAACATCTCACATTTTTGTTGTTGTTGAGAAGAAAAAACTGATAAAATTAAAAAAAAAATGAAACAAGATAAGATGTAACAGGTTCTTTTTCGTTTCATCTCTTTTCCCCTTGTTGTTTTAAGAAATTATTATTATTGATACTTGGATGAGAAAATGGCAAAAAAGGTAATCTTGGATGATGATGATGATGAAGGGGGCCAAACATAAACACATTAAGTAAGCATCCAGGTTAGCAAAAAAAAAATCATTCATTTTTTCACGAAATGAATTAATCTAATCGGATAAAATGATGATGATGATTATTGTGGCTATTGCCTCTATCTAAATGTTTTTTTCTCCCTCTTTTCATCTTCTTCGTTGAAACATTCATCATCATCATCATATACAGGATTTTCGGGACTGGCTCCAAGTTGTTCGTTCGTCGATCTAGGTATCAGCATCGTGAAATAGCTAATTTTTCTTCTCGTTTTTTTTCTTCTTGTTTATTTCGATTTCTGATTTTTTTTCTTTTTACTGATTTCGGGTTATATGCTGTGTATGTTGATCTTCGTTAGTTGTTTAGTGTTTTTCTCAATCACATTAAAAAGTTCATCTCACCATTGATGAACATTTCATTTGGCTAGTTAACTTGATTGCGATCGTTTTTTTCTTCTTATTTCTTATTTCTTCTTGCTTGTCCCATTTCGTTTCGTTTTATCAATTTCTTAAAAAAATTCATTTCATTTTAGATTCGGTCTTCATACCCAGCACACACATCAACAATTTTTTTTTGTTTCAGTTTCGTTTCGTTTCGTTTTCGGTCTTCTTCAAAATCACATTCTACACACACACATTTCACATCTTTATTTTTTCTTCATTAATTTTCGTTTCGTTCGGTATTTTCTTCGTTTCGTTTTGTTCGGTTTTCGTTTCGTTTCGGTCAAATTCTTCTTATTCTTTCTTCATCATAATATTCTTCCATTCAAAAAAATTCACATTTTTCTAGATAATTTTTTTCAAATTACAAAAAAAATTAATCTTTTTAATCAATAAATTACTCACAGTGTTTCGTGTTTCGTAAAAGTGCGTTTTGTTCGGATAAAAAAAAGTGTGGTTTTGTTTAACGATTTTGGCATTTTCTTTTCCTTCAAAATCCGTGCAATCTAATCTTCAGTGCAATTGATTCGACAAAAATCAATCAATCAATCAATTTTTCATCATCAAGCAATAACATCAATAATTTGAAATAGCAAAAAAAACATCCAATTCGTCAATCATGTCAATCATGGAACCAATTTCCAAAATTGCCCGAGAATGTCCAATCAAAGAGGATATCGTTATTTCGGGTATTTCGGGTCGTTTTCCCGAATCCGATAATATGGATGAATTTGCACAGAAATTATTCAGCGGTGAAGATATGGTTACCAAAGATGATCGTCGTTGGCCAGTTGGTATGTATTTTTGATTGTTTATTTCGAACCAAAATTTTATTCATTTTTCGAATCGCCAAACCAAATTTAAAGAAATCAACGATGGTCTTGGCTCTCGTACTGGTAAACTTAAAAGTTTGGATAAATTTGATTCATCATTCTTTTCGATGTTGACATATTTGTCACATTCTATGGATCCTGTATCACGTATTGTATTGGAAACAACTTATGAAGCATTCCACGATGCTGGTGTTTGTCCACATCAAATTCGTGGTTCGAATACTGGCGTCTATTTTGGCATCAACACTATTGGTATGTTAAAATAGTCGAATGGAATGTGATTTTTTTGTTTGTTTGTTTTCAAACTCAATTTCCTTTTATTTTGTTTTTTGTTTGTTCATAAAAATAGCTCAAGCTGATGGTCTTCCACAAGATGATTTCAACGATATCTTTACTAAAGATGCTGCTTTCTGGGTTTATGGCAATTCCAAAGTATTGTACGCAAATCGTATTTCTTTCTTGTTCGATTTTCAAGGTCCAAGTTTGGTTATCGATACTGCTTGTTCAGCATCATTGGTCGCATTGGCTACTGCTATGAACGATATCCGTATGGGTGTTTGCGACACAGCTGTTGTTGCTACTGGCAATTTGGTTCCTGCACCATTTGGTAATTCAATCTATTCTTGTGTCGGTCTTTTGGCTTCCGATGGTAAATGTAAAGTATGGGACAAACGTGCCGATGGTTTTGTACGTTCCGAAACAATTGGTGCATTGATTCTTCAACGTCGTTCACAAGCTAAACGTGTTTATGCAACTGTTTTGCATTCAAAAGTTAATTCCGATGGTTTCAAATCGGTCGGTCTTTTCGCTCCATATTGGTTGCGACAAAAAGATCTTATGGTATCCACTTATGAAGAAGCTGGTGTCGATCCAAACGATTTGGTTTATTTTGAAGCTCACGGTACTGGTACCAATGTTGGTGATCCACAAGAAGCTAAAGCTATTGCTGAAGCTTATTGTAAACATCGTGAAGTAAGTTTTTGTTTGTTTGTTAGGAATTATAAATATAATCACTAATTTCTGATTTTCTCAATAGCAACCATTATTGGTCGGTGCTGTCAAATCAAATCTTGGCCATTCTGAAGGTTCATCTGGTTTGAATTCAGTGGCCAAAGTTATTATTGCATTTGAAAATAAATGCGTTCCAGCTAATTTGCATTTCAATGAACCAAAACAAGAAATCTATGCTATTGTTAACAAACAAATTCAACCTGTTATCAAGAATACACGATTCCCGAACGGTATTGTTGGTGTTAATTCATTTGGTGTCGGTGGTGTGAATGCTCACATTTTGTTGAAAAGTAATGATAAAGAATTGACACCTGAATCCTATGAAATTTGTAAACCAATACCACGTTTGGTTTGTGTTGCTGGCCGTACCGAAGAAGGTGTTAATATGACATTTGATTTTATTAAAAATAATCCGGAAAAAATTCATCGTGATTTCTTGGCATTGTTGAATGAATCGATGAAAACTGGTTGGGTTGAATCATCATCGAATTTCCCACAACGTGGTTATATGATTATCAAGGAAAAACCTAATGCTGAAACAACCACTATTAATGTTGAATGTGGTGAAGTGAAAGTACCAAAATATGAATATGATTGTAAAATTACTAATACTGGTATGGAATATCCAGTTTGGTTAGTTTTCTCTGGTATGGGTTCACAATGGCTTACAATGGCAACCAGTATGATGTCATTAGAACCATTTGCACGATCAATTCAACAATCAGCTGCTGTACTTAAACCATTAGGTATTAATTTGATTGAATTATTAACGAAAAATGATCCCGAATTGTGGAAAAGTACTGTCAATCCATTTGTTGCTATAACATCTATGCAAGTTGCATTGTACGATGTTATCAAATTGTTAAACATCAAAATCGAAGGTATTATTGGTCATTCATTTGGTGAAGTTGCTTGTGCTTATGCTGATGGTTGTTTAACATTGGAACAAGCTATTTTGACATCATATTGGCGAGGTAAAATTGTTGAACAATCTAAATTACCACGTGGTGTATTGGCTGCTATTGGTCTTTCATGGGAAGAGACTAAAAAACGTTGTCCACCTGGTATTGTACCTGCTTGCCATAATGGTTCCGATTCGGTTACCATTTCGGGTCTTTATGAAGAAACGAAAAAATTTGTTGAAAAATTACAATCGGAAAATGTTTTCGCTCGTTTGGTTGCTGGTGGTGAATATCCATATCACAGTCCACATATGAATGCTGTTGCCGGAGATTTGATTGCCGCATTGAATAAAGTGATTCCGGAACCGAAAAAACGTAGTTCGAAATGGATTTCAACATCATTCGATAAAAGTAATTGGTACATTGAAGATGCTTGTTATGCATCGGCCAAATATTTTACCAACAATTTGGTTTCACCGGTATTGTTCAACGAAGGAATGAATGAAATCAGCAAAGATTGTATTGCTATTGAAGTTGCACCACATTCATTGTTTGATTCAATTTTCAAACGTTGTTATCAACAACATCATTATATTGGTCTGATGAAACGTAATGAACCGGATAATTTGAATTTCTTCCTCACTGCATTGGGTCGTATCTATACATTCGGTATGAATTTGGATATTGAAAACTTGTATCCACGTGTTGATTGGCCCGTTGCACGTTCAACTCAATCATTGAGTTCGCTATTGTTTTGGGATCACTCAAAAAGTTTTTATGTTAAAAAATATCCCGAATTTCACAATTTTTCGACCGCATCAGATTTTTATGTTAAAATATCTGTTCATGAAACTGATTGGCATTTTATTCGTGATCATGCTGTTGAAGGTAAAGCATTGTTTCCAGCTACTGGTTATTTGTATTTGGTTTGGCGTCGTGTTGCCAACAGTATTGGTCAACCATGGAGTAAAACTCCAGTTCATTTTGAAAATGTTCGATTCCATCGTCCAACATTGGTATCCGAATCAAGTGATATCAAATTCACTATTCGTTTATTGCAAGGTAGTGGTGAATTTTTAGTTTTCGAAGCAAACAATCTTGTCTGTACGGGTAAAGCAACTGTTATGGAAAATGATGATGGTCTTGAAGTGCAAGATACTATTGAACCGGCAATTGAAGAAGATTACAAACAACGTCATTCAAGTGAATTCGATTATCTATCCACTAGAGAAATCTACAAAGAATTGCGTATTCGTGGTTATGATTATGGTCCCAAATTCCAGGGTCTTACTGAAGCTCGTTCCGATGGTGCTATCGGTAAAGTTAAGTGGGATGGTCATTTCATTAGTTTTATGGATTCAATGCTCCATATTTCATTGGTTGCCTTACCACTTCGTGCTTTGTTTGTACCGGTTGGTTTTGAATCAGTTCGTATCGATCCAAAAGTTTTATTCGGTGAAATTGAACGTGTTAAACAAGAAAAACAAAAAACCGAAGAAGAAGAATTCCATTTGAAACGTGAATTCTTGTATTTCTCCGATAAAAGCAAAGAAAATGAAACATTGGAAAAAGATTTTTCACAACGTGTTGAAGGTGCCATCAACAAAGAAGAAGTTGATCAAGAAAATCAAGAAAGTCGTGCCGATTTACCAATTCAATTTTATGAAACTGCATTCATGAAAAATGAAGATAACAAAATTTCATTGATTCCTGTCATTTTTAATGGTAATAATCGTTCAATTGCAACCAAAGGTTTAGAAGTTAAAGGTATGATTCCGTTCCCGGTTCCAAGAAAAATCGATCAAAAAGGTTTAATTTTGGAAGAATATTCGCATATGCCTTATTTGGATAAAGAATCATCACGTTTAACCAATGATAAACATAAAGAATTGATGGATTATATTGAAATGTGTAATTATCTTTCATCATTATTGGTATTGAACAAATCCGTTGCTAAACCTGAACCAAAAGATTTAGTTGTTGCTGATCAAAAACTTGATGATCTAATTCGTCATTATACAAAATTTGTTGAAATGCAAGAAACAAATCCTTATCGTGTATTCATGTTACTTAAAGATTTATTGGATTTGAAAGTTGAAAAATTGGATGATGGTACAGAAAAATTGGTCATGGCTTGTTGTGTTGCTGAAGATAAATTGAATGGTGAAGGTGGATTGAATAATGATCTGTTGACCAAACATGATTTATCAGCCGATTTGGTCGTTTTGTTGCAAACAAATGAACGTCTTGTGCGACCATTAATCGATACAGTATTGGAAAATTCCTCCGATCGTAATAATTTGAAAATGGTTGAAGTCAATCCAGCACAATATCTTTATGCATGGCGTATTGTTCAATTGATTAAAACATCATATGTTGGCAATCTAAATATTGATTATACATATGCTAATACTGGAACACAAATCCTAAACAAAGAATTGGAAAGTCTCAATATGAAATCTATTGAATGGAATTTATCGACAAATTCATTCATCAATGATATCAATACTATTGATTTGATTTTGTATCGTTTGACTGATGGTGTTGTTGAAAATTGGAGCATTGATCGACAATTGGAATCATTTTATGATGCATTGAAAGAAAATGGTTTCCTTATGGTTATCGCCCGTAATGATTTGAACAAAATGGAATCATCATTATATAAACATTTTAATAATGATCCAAAACGTGAAATTGTACGATCTGGTTTGGTTGATGAATTTATTAAAGCCGCTAAAGCAGCATCGTTTGGTTTGGTTGGTACCAAATCCAGTATCTATGGTTGTTCAGCATTATTGTTCCGTAAATTGAAAATGGTTTATGATCCGGCTGAATTTAATGTATTGAAAATTGTCAACTTCCAATATGATGCCTGGGTTGATAAATTGAAAGCATTGATGGCACAAAGTAAAGATGATAATAAACCATTATGGTTGGTTGCTAAAGATAGATTCAATGGTGTTGTCGGTATGGTAAATTGTTTACGTTTGGAACAAGGTGGCGCTAATGTTCGTTGTATTTTTGATCTGGATAATTCATTGCCGGATCAAATTGATTTTGAAAAAAGTCCATACAATGAAATTGGTTATATGGATTTAGTTTTCAATGTTTATAAAAAAGGACAATGGGGTTCATTCCGTTTCTTAACATTACCGGATAAATGTGAACAAGTTGAAACACAATATGCTTATCTGGATATTGGTACACGTGGTGATTTATCAACTTTCCGTTGGTATGAATCTGACCATAAACATTTTGATAGAATTCTGAAAGCTGATCAAGAAAAAGGAATGGTTATGTGTGATGTTTATTGTTCATCATTGAATTTTAAGGTTTGTTTTTATTCATTGTTTTTGTTGTGAAATTTTATTTTAAAAAAATCTTTTTTCATTAGGATGTCATGTTGGCTACTGGTCGTATTCAACCGGGTCCAGAATCGGCCATTTTTGATTGTGTAATTGGTTTGGAATTTTCTGGCCGTCGTCGTGATAATGGAAAACGTGTTATGGGAATGGTACCATTCAAAGGTTTTGCTACAACAATTACATCGTTTGAAGAATTTTTATGGGATGTACCAGATGAATGGTCATTGGAAGAAGCTGCAAGTATTCCGGTTGTTTATAGTACAGCATTATATGCTTTGATTGTTCGTGGTCAATTACGTGAAGGTGATAAAGTTTTGATCCATTCGGCTGCTGGTGGTGTTGGTCAAGCTGCAATCCGAATCTGTCAAGATCATAAATGTGAAATATTCGTCACCGTTGGTAATCAAAGTAAACGAACATTCTTGAAAGAAGAATTTGGCATCCCAGATGATCATATATTCAATTCACGTGACATTTCATTCGAACGTTTGATCAAAGAACGAACCAAAGGTTTGGGTGTTGATATTGTTTTGAATTCATTGGCCGAAGATAAACTTCAGGTAAGAAATTGAGAAAGATTAATTTGTTTAGTCAAGAAAATTATTTGAAAACATTTGTTCATTGGCATATAGGCATCACTTCGTTGTTTGGGTTTGAATGGTCGATTTTTGGAAATTGGCAAATATGATATGCAAATGAACAAACCAATTGGAATGTTTGCTTTCTTACAAAACATTTCATTCCACGGTGTTTGTTTGGATGCATATTTCCGTGAAGGTTTTGATTCACCAAATTTGAAACGTTTCATGACTCGTATGACCGAATTATTGTATGATGGTATTAAACGTGGTGTTGTACGACCAATTCAACGAACATCATTCCGTTGGAATGAAGTTGAACATGCTTTCCGTTATATGTCTACTGGTAAACATATTGGTAAAGTTATTATTAAAATGCGTGAAGAAGAAAAACAAAAACAAGTTGTTGCCAAACCATTAACTGTTATTGCTAATCGACGAACATCATTCAATCCATCCAAATCATATGTTATTGCTGGTGGTCTTGGTGGTTTTGGTTTGGAATTATTGTATTGGATGGTAATGCGTGGTGCTAAAAAATTTGTTCTTTCATCTCGTGGTGGTTTGAAAAATTCTTATCAAAAATTATATTTCAAACGACTCAAGGAATTGAGCAAATTTATTTCAATCTTCGATATCGATGTTAGTATGTGCACACATAATGTTATCAATGAAGATGGTGCTCGTGCTTTGATCGATGAAGCTATCACCAAAGGTCCAGTTGGTGGTATATTCAATTTAACATTGGTATTGCATGATGCTTTTGTCGAAAATCAAACTGTCGATACATTTGTTGAAGTTTGTTCACCAAAATTGACTGGTCTAGCTAATTTGGATAAAATTTCCCGCGCAAAATGTCCAGAAATTGATTATTTTGTCTGTTTTTCATCATTGACTGCTGGTCGTGGTAATGCCGGACAAATTAATTATGGTTATGCTAATTCAGCTATGGAACGTATTTGTGAATGTCGTCGTTCTGAAGGTAAGACAAAGTCGTTAATTATAATGAAAATTTAATTCATTGCTTTTCATTACACAGGTTTACCTGGTACGGCTATTCAATGGGGTCCAATCGGTGATGTTGGTGTTGTTGCTGAACATTTGTTGGTGGATGCCGACCAGCAAAAACAAGAAGATATGTTGAAATTGTTTGGTGGTATTTCCCTGCAACGTATTGCATCATGTTTAGAAGTATTGGATCGTTTGTTACAAGTTGGTGCACCAGTATTATCATCATTGATCAAATCGAATTTGGAAGATAATAGTAATCAAAGTGAAGATGATATTTTGGATCAATTGTGTGCTCATTTGAATGTTGATAAACGATCACGTGAAGAAACTATTGGTGATGCTGGTTTGGATAGTATGACTGTTGTTGAAATTCAACAACGTCTAGAACGTGATTATGAAGTATCGTTGTCGGTTGCCGATGTAAAACGTATTACTATTGGTGAAATTAAAGATTTCCGTGATGGTAAACGTGAAGGTTTGAAATCATTTGCCGAAGATATTAAAAAAACACGTATCCATTTGGCTAATATTAAATTCGAAATTGCAAGCGAACCATACACAGTGGTTTGTCCACATCAAGAAGTATCGAAAATGAAACCAATATTCTTTTTACCACCAATCGAAGGTATCTATGAATCATTGAAAGAAATCATCATGGATATGGCTAAACATCGACCAGTCATTACATTGAATTGGATGCGTAAAATGAACGAATTGAATAATATTAAAAAAGTAGCCGAATATTTCAAAGGTGTTTTGGCCAAATTGGAACCAAAAGGTGAACATGAAATTGTTGGCCATTCATTTGGTGCTATTGTCGGTATTCATATGTGTCGTAAAAATGTACCAATCAAAACCATGATTGTACTTGATCCTATGGATGTATCCAATTTCAAAGAAGAATTTGATCGTAATGAAAAAGTAGAAATGATTCTATCATATTTACGTAATTTCATGTCCGAACGTTTGGTCGATAAAGTGCGTAAAGAAGCACTTTCAGTCAAGAATGAACAAGAATGTGTACAAAGAATAGCCGATGTATTGAAATCACATGGTGGTAAAACAATCAATAGTAAAGATATTGATGATATTATCAAAGATTCATTCGTTCGTGCTGAAATGATTCTTAAATATCAACAGAAAAATATTCGAAAACTTCGTATGTTTGGTCGTGATTTTACACAAAAAACCGTACAAAAAATGATGAAAAAAATTACTGTCAATGTAACTGTTATCAAACGTATGGCACAAGAATCGGAAATTGACAAATTGAACAATATTCTTCTTACCAGTTATGGTATTGCTCGACAGGTATGTTTTTTCTTTCTTTTTTTTAATGGCAAAGTTTCTAATTCTTACTTTAATCTCTATTCTATTTAGGATTTCGTTGGCCGTTTCGATGTCTATCAAGTTATCGGTAACGAAGAAGAATATCTTACTGCTCATCTTCATTATATAACCAAATTGATTAAACTTAAATTGACATTGATTACGGAAGAAGAGGCACAAAATTTGGCATAAGAAACAAAAAAAAAATCAATTAATTTGATTTAATCCTTTTCTTATTAATTAATTGCTTTATCATCATCAATCGCACAATTGCAATCTGCCGAACTTGATCAATGAAATTTCTTCTTTTTTTAGCGATTCTTTATTTTTATAATTATTATTTTTAATAGACCGAACTCTGCTCAAAATATTATCAATCAAACATTAATTTTACATAAAAACTGCTTTAAATTGAACGAAACGAAACACTCAACACAAAACACACAACACCCAAACAAATTCATTTTCATATGATGGCCAAACTGAAACGAACGAAACGAAAATTATTAACAAAACCGACCGAACACCTGAAAACAAACGAAACGAAACGAAACAAAATTTCTGCTTAGTTTTTTTTCTAATTACAATTTTTTTCTCATCAATAAAAACCTTATTATATTTATTTTTCTTAATTTGATTTTCATTTTATTTCAAAGTTGACAAATTTTTAACAACAAAAAAGCATAGCGTCCAGCGCATGCGATAAGCTTGAAACCATTTCAGGATAATTAATAAGCGTCACAGCTTTGTTCGGTCAGTCATCATTCAGTCAGTCAGTCAACCACAATGAACTAATTTTCATTGAAACAGCGGTCATTTCCAGCAAAAGTTCAAAAAAAGGGTTGCTAGTTTGTTTGAATGCAAGTTTCTTTGAACCCGGAACAGGAAAATTTTAAATTTAAATGCTGATTATAATCTAGAACGATATTTCCGGTTGAAATAATTTTTTGAAAAAATTTAAAATTGATTTGTCATTTTCGAATCAATTTGCGATCGATCATCATCATTGGTCATCATCATGAAATCCAGAACATTAATCTGGTTGTCAATAACCATCTCATTGTTGGTATTGTCGATTGATTTAATTCAATGCAATGAATCGTCAACTAATAATGATGAACATTTGATTGAATTGAATGATCAATTAAAATCGGTCGCAATTGACCTGTTGAAACAATCATCGAATCAAACTTTTGTTGCAGAATTATTGGCAAATCAAAATGCGGCTGCAACGCAGATACAATCATATCCTTCGATGGATGAATCGATTGGTAAAGTTTACAAACAAATGACCCAATCACAGATTGAAGCATTACAAAATGAATTACAACTTCATGATCATTTCATTTATGAACCGATACGGGAAAAATGTACACAAATTCAGATAGAATTTGAAAAATCTTCCGATGATTATGATCAAACGCGTGATATTTATCGATTGGAAAGAGATTTTCTTGACACTGGTGATCAATTAGTATCATTACAAAAAATGGTGATTCGAATAATTAATTCAAAATTGGAACAACGTTTGCGGCAACCAAAACAACAACAACAACCAGAACGACAATCATCAATGAAAAATAATTATGGAATTGGTCAGGATATTTTCGATCAATTTGATTATCTTTGTCGATCATTTTTTGGTATTCCATTTTCAAACTTTAAAACATCAACATTTACACCGATCAATCAACTTTTGGCTCTTACGGAACGGCTACAAATGGTCGACGCTATACGTTTACCAACAATGACCAATAATGATGACGATAATGGAGGAACATCGAATTTGAATGGTTTATCAGCACTATTACATCGTTTACGACACACATATTATCTATATCGTATGGCAACATATTCTAATCAAATTATGGATACATTTTATTTGAAACCATTAGCATATCAAGCAACACTTGGCCTAGTTGATACTGTTGGTTATTTAACATGGTCAGATCCATCCAATAATTTATTACTATCACAATTACGATTTTTGATACAATTATTTAGCGGCAATCTTCAATTGAATATTTTTGCTCAGCCAAATTTGATCAAACAACAATCATCATCAGCTAAAAATTTGATTGATCCAAATCAATTAAAACAATTGATACAAACCCTAAAACAACATGAACAAAAACAACGTGATCAAATTGAACAAAATCGTTTACGTTCAATGATGGAAAAATTAATGGATAATCAACAACGACAACAATCACAAATTGATAAAATTCTACATCATTTAGCATCATCAAAACATGATTTATCAACAACAACAACAACAACTACCACTACAGCGATGGAAAAACCAAAAAAACATCCATATCATCATCAGTCGAGTACAACAACGATCAAAGCTGGCCATTCTAAAGCGGAGATAACCACAACAACAACCTTACGGCCATCCGAATCAATAGTGAAAGGTGGTGATACATTAACTCAGCTTAAACAACAGAGAAAACTATTGAATGATTTGCTGCAAGAACTTCAAAAACCATTGAATCATACAGATCGATTTGCTTGTTGTTCATCACATTCCAAACCACCATCAATGATAAAACCATCAATGCCAAACGATAAACAAAAACCAATTCACAATTATAAACAAAAACCACAACAGGATTTAGGACAAACACAACAAGCATTGATGACAATAATGCAAAATATAACACCATTAATCAATGTTATGGCACAATCACAAATGATTCGTCCATCGAAATTAGATCAATCTAGATTGGATTTATTATCAATTGTACAATCCATTAATAATAATCAACAAATATTATTGGATTCATCATCATCCATTCTGGATTTCACTGCTCCATTCAATGTAATGACTAATCTGGCCAAACGATTACAACAAATATTGGATGGTTTTATTAACGATCTAACTCCTCTAACAGCAATTCGTTGATAATCCTCTTTTCTAGTAAATTCTATTATATTTACCGTTACCTTTTTTTCCATTTAATATTTGATTTGTTTTTTTAAGTAAAAAGCGGTAAAAAACAAAATTTTGTGAATTTTTTTGGAAAATTGTGCGTTTTTTCAAAAATTGAGCATTTTTTTGGCGATTTTTGCATTTTTTGGAAAATTGTGCGTTTTTTCAAAAATTTGGCATTTTTTGGCCATTTTGGGAAATTTTTGAATTTTTTCGAAAATAGTGCCTTTTTTGAAAATTGTGCATTTAATGTGAAATGAAATGATGAAAATAGTTGTTGACAAACAAAAAAGAAAAAAAGATTCTCATTGAAATAATTGATGATAACCACTGTAGTTTATGTAAAGGAAATGCATTTTTTAAATCATTAGCTTGATAGAGTGATGATATATTGAATGATAATTTGAAATGAGAATCAATACTACACAGTATTGTGAGTGATTCATTTTTACGAAAATGATTTCAACCATAGAGAAATATTGATTGCAACAATCTTCCACATCACTGAAAAACAAGGTTAAAATAATTGAATATTCAAACAACAACAACACTGCACAGTGATGACGATTGGAAGATTTCGATTGATTATGATGATTAGAATGGCATTTAAAATGGTATTGATTCAATTCACTATAGTCGAGTCGAGTGAAACGACGCAAACAAATCCATATCATCATTCAATCGATCAACATTTCATTTAATTCAACCAAAAATCAATCGCAACAAGAAAAATGTTCTCAAAACTTATGATTCTTATGGCTATGGCTATGGCCATTACAATTGTTTCGGCTCAAAGTAAAAGCGAATGTCAATTACAAAAAGAAAAAGAAGATAAAAAAGAAAACACTCCATTGAAATTGGATGTTCGTTGTTTGGAAAATGGAGATTATGCACCATTACAATGTTTCCCTGAAAGTAAATTCTGTTATTGTGCAACACCGGATGGTACCCAAATTACACAACCATCACGTAATCGTAAATTTTGTAAATGTGATCTACAAAAACATGAAGCTGAAAAAGGATTAAGTCGAAATGGTCGCCCAATTGATCGTAAGTTAAACTGAGAAAACAATTCCTACTCATGCTCATTCTGATTTAAAATAGCTCCATCCGGTTCATATATTCCGAATTGCGCACGTGATGGCCTCTTTTATCAAAAACAATGTGAAGTTGGAACCGGTGTTTGCTGGTGTGTCAACCAAGAAGGTTCACAAACATCGAAAGATAAAAAAGTTGGCATCACTTGTGCTTGATGATGATGAAGCCGATTTGGAGAAAAAATACATTCGAAACCTGTGTTAATGATGATCGTGACCAAAAACAAAAACCATTGAAAATTTGATGGGAATTGGTGAATTTAATTGAATAATTCTTTCTTATCTTTATATTAGATTTGAACAAATAATAATTAAAAAAACAAACAAAAAATAGATCAATATGATGTTGGTTGCAAATAAACACAGTGATTATCATCAAATGAATGATTCAGATGATTAAATTGTTGTTGATTATTATCATTATCATTCACCATTAATAATTCCGAATCATCATTCATTTGATAATGATTGTTGTTGCTATTTCCATTATCATTATTATGCGTTGATTGAAACAATTTACAACGATTTATAAATATGGCTGCAAATCTATAAGTTGATGATGATGATTTCAATGGTAGATTCATATATCCAATATAAACTATTGCCATTATCAACAACAGCAAACCAATAATGCTAATCCAAATCAATGACCAATGTGCACCGAAACGATGTTTTTTATTATCATCTTCCATATTGATCCTGGCTTTTGCCTCTATCGATGATTCATTTGATGCCGACGATGATTCGGTGGTGACCACCGATTTCAACGTAGTCGATATTGATGATGATGATGGTGATTTTAGATCAGTATTTGTCGAAATAGTCGTTGTCGATGTTGTTGGCATTGTTTGAAGAATGGTGGTTGTTGTTGATGATGGTTTAGTCATTGTCGTTGATGTCGATTTGGTCGTCGTTGCCATTGTTGTTGTTGTTGTCGTCATGATTGGTTTCAGATGTACAATTGAACGAATAATTTCATTATGTAATGATTGATCATTGGATTGTGGTTGAGAATCCGTAATGTCATCATCGTCGCCATTATTATCATCGATAATTGGATAACCATACCATTTTGATGGTTCGGGTAATTTTGATGTTGATGATGATGAGTTAATTGAATTCAAAGGTGGTGAATCAGTTGGATCAAGATCAGCGATGGATGATGGTTCATTGATAATATCAACATCCAAAGTTGAATTGGTTAACGATGAACATGATTTAGCCAATGTTAATTGCAAATCATCGATAGCAATATCACCTTGATGTCCATTACCAAGAATGCCTTCGATAATAATTTGAAATGGTTGTAGCAACATTGATGAATTTGCCGGTTGAATTTCAATTTGTCCGGCTAGCCATTGATCACCTTGATCACCGGACATTTCCCAAACAGGTTCCAATTGGGAAAGTTGTTGATTTTTTTCCTTCACAAACATACGTAATGTTCCACAAGCTTTACCATACATATGATAATAAAATTGAAAACAGGCAACACTGCTATTTTCAACATGTTGAAATACAGGCGAATAAAGTCTTGCCACTTCATTTGGTGAGCGTGGATATGAACTTTCCAAGTAAAGATAGTTTCCGGTACCATTTTCACCGAATGTATGATCAAATGAAGGACCAGTTTCATCATAATGTGATGGTGTTTGAAGAAAATTCCTTGTCCAATCAAAATCATCTTCATTATCTGTTTTAAAAACCAAAACCAAAAGAATTTTTAGCAAATTTAGCGAAAAACCAAAACAAAACATACCTTGCATCCATCCACAAATCGATCCATATTGATTTTCAAATGTACAATTCATTGATTTTTCCATAGGTTTTTCATAAACTTGATTGAAATATAATCAATTCGAAAATTAGAAAGGGATTGTATTGAAAAAATGTGCTTACTTTCACATGTTGGCCACTGATCTAATGGTATCATTGTTGTAGTGAAAGAATGATCCGGTTGATCTGGATCATCAATAAACCATTGTTTACCAATACAATAAGCTCGTATCGATGATGATGATAATGTTGGATACGATAAAGAAGAACTACTACCATGATCAATTGAATCGAAAAAATTAATTTTCTTTCCATTAATTTTTTTATTAGTTAATTGTAAACGATAACCAAGTTGACAATGAAGATCAACAACACTTGAATGATTCGATATTTTCCGTAATGATAATGGTGGTTGGACATTTAATTTATTTGGACAATTTGTTGCTGAAAAAACAAAACAAAATTAGAAAATTGATTATAATAATCGAATAGACTTACAAACACAAACAGGTAAATCATGTGTCCAACGATTACGGCTACAAGTTGAATAACGATTACCAATCAAATCGAATCCTTTATTACAGGTAAACCTGGCTACACGGTTCGGATATGACCGTAATTTTACATAACCATTTTTCAATGAATTTCGTAGTGATGGACAATTTCGATATCCTGGCCATCAATGATTGATTAATAATCTATAGATTTCATCAAATCCAACTTACTTTTTTCAAATGATCGATATGTTTTGGCAATTGATTGTTCAATCAATCTGCTAAATGTATCATCATGATGTGGAGATGTCAAAAATGTTGTCGTCGATAATGATGATGAGGAAAATGGCGATGGTGTTGTTGATGTTGTCATCGATAGTATCGAACTGCGAAAAATCGCTGATGAACTCAAAGTTGGAGTGGTGCTCGGCGTTATTGTTGTTGTCGTTGTCGATATTGGTTTCCAATAATTGGTAAACATCGACGCTGTCGTCGAAACATTGCGATTCGATTGCAATAATTTTTGATCGTCGTTATCGCTTGGAATATTGAATTGACATTGATGCGGTAAAGAAAAAAATCCAATCAACAAAATGAATTTAATGAAAAAATTCTTTGCGAATATCATGGTGAATGCGTTTTGTACGAAAAAAAAATTATTGAAAATCTCCGAAATGAAATGTAATTCAGTTCACCATTCAATCATACGAATGATTTTGTTGAACATTTTTCATTTTTAGCAAACTAAAAACCAGAAACATCAGAAAAAAATGAAAGTTTTTTAAACAAACAAACAAACAAAGTGGACAAACAAACTAATCGAGTAAGGACAATTTTGATAATTTGTAATCAACGAATTTGATTAAAACCAACAACAAAACCAGCCCAAAAATTTGAGAAAAATTGATTATTCGAAAAATGAACTTGATCTGTTGATGAATCGCATACACAAATCGATTTGAAATCAATCAATCAATCAGAAAAAATTTTCCTGTAATATTTTTGATGGTAATATTTTGGGGATATGTTGTTCGTTTCGTAGAATCAATGTTGTTACTGAAAGCGGAACCACCACAATTTGTTTGATCACATCATATACCATTGCCATTCTGCCAAAAAAAAACAAAACAAAAACGGAAATTAATATACCCAAAACTGAATGAAAAAAGACGGATGCATCTACAATGATGATTAACATTATAAATAGTGATGATTATACAGCAAGGAAATGACCAAAGATTTTAATGTTCAGATAATAATCGTTTGTTGGTTGTTGTGGTTGATTACCACTATCATTCGAATCGCCATACTTTTTGCAATAATAATCGTTGAAATAAACAAGAAGGATTTCCTTTTTCGCATTCACATTTCATAATCATATTGGTATGATTATTATTATGGTGATGAAATTGGTTAAAAGTCTTTGACCATGATGATGATTCAAAATTATTATTATCATCATTTTTACCTATATCACCAACAAAACAAACTTTTCCATAATGATAACGCATACGCCAAAAAATGTACAAAGGTCACTCAAATCAATTGTGACTCATACCACACTATTGGTAAGATAAACAAATTTTTGTTAATCAAATCAAATCAATCAAAAAAATTTAAAAAAAATACAAAACTCATTATATAAGGAAAAATAAACGGTGCATGAATTATATCTATAGGTAGGTATAATAATCGATGATTGAAAAATAAATATTTGTCTTTTTGTCACAAAAAAACGATAATAAAAAATTATAGACCGATTAAAGAGTATTTGATTTTGGTGATGAATCAATAATGTTGAGATTCTATTTATTCTTGATGGAAAAGACCAACAGCTGTTAATTTATCGATAATTAATTTAGCTGCCGAATTTCTAGCTGTACGCAATATTTCCCCATAACCTTTGGCCGTAAATTGATGATCAATATATTTATCCGGTATAGGATGACGACGTTTTCGACCATTGTTATAATTAGTATTAGAATTTGTTCCTACTTGACATTGATCGTTGGACATTATGACCCGGCAAGTAACCCAAAATTTTCGATTATCAAAATGAATATCATAATATGGTAATGGTAAATACATTCTAATACAATATTTTAATAATATTGCTGATGGACTTGATTCGATTGTTGTTCCGCGATGACTATCAATAATGGAACAATTATCTGTACTATTACAAAGAATTGGTCCATATAAGGAAAAATGATTATGTTGACAATTACCCTGTTGCTGTTGTTGATGATATGATGATAATAATAATGAACTTGAATAGCTGCGAATAATACTACCATTACCATTAATATTTCCATTACTCATTTCATTATGTTTTTTCGATGATGATGATGATAATTCTTTTTGATCATTACCATCAATCGATTGTTGTTGTTGTTCTTGCTGTTCTTGTTCTTCATCTTCTTCAATAATTGATTCTGCCATTATATTTGATGATTGATAATGATTTATTGTCGAATGATGATGATTATGGTGGTGATGGATTGCGGCATCATCGTTTATCAATGATATTGTCTGTTGATCTTCCGGATGATGATGATTGTTGTTCAATGAAGAAGATGAATTGGATGAAAAGGTTGTCGATGATGATGATGAACTGGAAGATGATGATGTGGGTCGTGATGTTACCGATGACGATGAGGATGTCGTTGTTGACGATGATGCTGATGATGATGGTTCACTATCGATTTCAAATTTTCGTCCATCACTATTATTGTTGTTCGACTTGGATCGTCGAAAAGATCGACGACTAAAATCACGTAATGAATTTAATAATAAAAATGATGATGGAAAAAAACTGAATGATCGTTTCGTATTGTTATCATTGTTATTGTTATTGTTGAGCAATTTGGACGTTTGTTTCGGATGATTGTTTAGTTTCGGTGATGGACGAGATGAATTGGAACATTCACTTTCTTCCGCTGTCCATACACCTTCATCGGATGATATTTCCTGTTGTTGATGATGAAGATTATCTTTGGATTTATCATCACTAACATTGTTCGATGAAGATAATGCTATTTCCCGGTCAAAAAAAAAACAAAATTTTAGAAATTAAATTCATCAAAATTCAGTTGCTACTTACAATGACTTTTCAATGTAATCGAATCGATACCATCGATACTTGGCGTTATAGATTGTCGACCATCATTTGGATCATAATGACCATTGGCCATCGATGTAAAAGAATCGACACGATTAGCTTTGGAAATATAATCAACACTGAATGAACGATTCATGGAAAGATGATCATTACGTGATGGTCGCCGTCGTCGTAGACTACCAAATGAACGATCATTATTTGTTTGATTGATCAATTCCAGAATGGATGGATCATTTTCATGAAACAATCGAATAGCTTCTAAAGCTGCTTTAAATTCAGCATTGCGCCTTGAAAGACCAATACCTTTAGCTAGGAGCATATCATCAATCAATAATTGTACTGTATAATGTTTTTGTAGATCAACTTTTTCTTCATGTGTTAAATAATAAACCGGTCCTTTTAAATGTTTTTGACGACAATATTCTTTAATTACTTGTTTTGGTCGTGATACGACCGTTGTCGACATCGTTGACGAATGTTGCGGCAAAGTTGCCGATGATGTTGATAAAGTAGATGCTGGCATTGTCTATTTTATTCACTTGAACTCACTGTTCATTTGGAAGAAAAAAATAAAAGAAAAGAAAAGAAATTAGCAAAAAAATAAACAAAAGTTATGTTTGGTGGGGATACAAATCAATGACAATCCTTTCCTTCCAAGAAAAAAAACTTGACAATTTTTTCGATTAAATTTGATTTTACAAGTTTTTGCCTCAACAGTTGAATAATGACAAGGAAAACATTGAATTTGTGCGATATTATTTGAGGGAGAAATGGATTTTGTCAAATGTTTGATTGAAATGGCATTGAAAAGCAATGGATTTTTTTTATTTATTTTGAAAAGCAAAGAAAATCAGTGTGAAAAAAACAACAAACAACGTTGTGATTTATGTTTCCTTTTTTCCAATTCATTTCTCATTGATTTTGGGGAAAATTGATGCTTAAATCAAAAATCATCATTGACATAACACACACAATGGAAAACAAATCAAATTACACATGAACATGTTCCTCTTCTTCTTAATTTCATCGTATATTGTTTCAAAAAATAATATGACCTTCAAATTATGTAACCAAATCATATAATCGATGGTGATTGCCGTGGATTGGAATGTCTCTCTCTCTCTCTTTCTCTTGGAACAATGCAATGATCAATCAACCAAAGATTATGATAATGATGATGATGAATATATAATTGACAGAAAAATATGAAAAAAACTTCACATCAATTAAAATCAAATTGAAAAAGAAGAGAATGAAATCATTTCAATATAAAAATTGCATTTTAGGTGCAATCTTTTTAGAGCCATTGATGATGATATAATAACAATAATGATTGTAAATTGATGGAGCAGGCAAAATTGAGATTTTTGTTTGTTTGGTTGGATTTCTTTCATCGACATTATTTACATTAATGAAAAAAAATTGTATTTTAATCGAATGTTGCCAATTTGTATTGCAACAAGCAAACAAAACAATTTTTGAATAAAGACAAAGAAATCTTTTTCTTCAACTTCTTCGTTTTTTCATGTCAGGAGATATGTGAGGCTATATTTCAATTTGACATTTGATGATTTAATTTCAATGTTCACACACACACGCACATCCAGAAAAATCCTCATCATCAAAATCGGGAACGGAAATCTTCATTGATAATATTAGAAACAAGGGGCCTGATTTCAAATCATCAAATCCAACACATGAAAAAACATTGAGAAAAATACCATATAGCATCACCATCAAAATAATGATTGATTTTCAATCCCTCAATCAATCAGTCAAACACAAAATACATTCAAAAAGAAAATCAAATAGAGTTGTGTGTGTGTAAGAAAAGAAAGACAAATAAAAATAGCTAAACAGGTAATATTCATTATTTTTATGATTAAATAATGTTAATTAGGTTGGCTGTCATCATTGTTAGTTTTACAAAAATAAAAATCATAAATTTTTATTACCGATTCTAATCGCTAAAAATTATTTTAAAGAAAAAATCATCAGATTTTACTTTACTTTTGATTTGAAATAAAAAAAAATTCAACCACACAAAGCAAAGCAGAGTAAACACATAAATCACACACGATAATCAAAATGAAAAACATCATTCAAACATATAAAACAATGATGGTGATGACCATGGTGATGATCATTATCGTTTCGGTTGATGGTTACCAAAATGTTAATGGCAAAAAAGATAACCAAGTTGACAATAAATTTATAGCAACAATTTTTTTTGATGCAAAAAAACCAAAAAAAAAAAAAAAAAAAAAAAAAAAAAAAAAGCCCCCCGGAAAAAAACCTTTTTAAAAAAATTTTTTTTGGTGTTT